TTTGTTTTTTTGTAATGGAACTTATGTCTCTTTTTAGATCTGTTGACTGAGCCCTGAAGCTCGCAATGTAAGCCCTTCTGAATTTCCATTGTCTCTTGGTTTGTTTTTTTCATGTCTTAGCAAAATGCACCCTTAATACCTGGCCCTTTCGCAAATGATCACAGTGCATATGGGATCACTGTCCCAGCAGGTGGCTATCGATGTCATCATAGAGTGCCTTGTGTATCCTCTGTGACAAGGTCAGGTGGGGAGACAGATGGTGCTGCTTCATGTCACAACTAAGATCTGGGCTTCAGAGTAGACCCAGAGTCAAAAGCCACTTCTGTTCCTCACTGGCTGCTTGAGGTTAGGTAAGAAACTTACATCTGCTAGGTCTTCATGTCATTGTCTGCAAAATAGAGGTAATAGTTCCCTCAGGGTTTATTATGAAAATTAAATGAGCTGAAATGTACAAAGTATCCAAAGTGCTCGGCTCAGTACCTGGTACTTGGTAGTCATAGAACAAGTACTAGTTGGATGAAGGCTTTCTTCAATAGCTTCGCCCTCCCTAGGAATCCATACTAAGGTGTGCAAAGTTGTGTGGTATGGAGGACCACCTGACGGCTCTCCTTGAAAGAAGAGCAGTCATCTCCATCTTGGCTAAACCTGGCCCTGCTTCCATGTACTGACGTGTACAGAGCCGGCTAGGACTTTTCCTTTTCCTTCAGTTGGCTTGAAGTAATGCAAATAGCTCCAGCCAAGGTGCTGAAGTGTAGTCTTGAAGCAAGGCCCAGGTCAGTGTTTCCCCACCCTGTAGCTCCCCGCAAAAAGTGTGTAAATCAGGCAGAAGGAGGAAGAGCCACGCACCAGGCTGTCGGCTGGATTCTAGCTTCTCCGTAAGAGTCTATGACTTCCCAGGGCATGAAAGATTACACATCAGAACTCAAGCACCGCACCCAAAACATTAGATACTACCTCAAATTGTGTTATGCAGATTATTCTTTCTGCATATTCTTCTCTTTTTCCAATTAACCATCATCCTAGCTGGATTTAAGACCTCCTTGACTCCCCACAATTACAAATATACCTTAAGGTCTTTATAATCATCGTGGGTTGTACTGGAGGTAGTAGATTGGAATTAACTCACTAGAATTTGAGTAACTTTTCCATGGGTTACAAATATAAACTTCCCAGACCGCAAGAAGGGTGGCACATCTGCCCCAGAAATTAAGGCAAGGACTCCTCCACCACTCTGCCCTGAAGCTACCACCCAGAAGAGAGGAAATGATTTTCACAAAAGTGTTTCTCTCTCTCTCTCTCTCTCTCTCTCTCGCTCTCTCTCTCTCTCTCGCTCTCTCGCTCTCTCGCTCTCTCGCTCTCTCGCTCTCTCGCTCTCTCGCTCTCTCGCTCTCTCGCTCTCTCGCTCTCTCGCTCTCTCGCTCTCTCGCTCTCTTTTGGGGGGAGGGGTAACGGGGATCGAACTCATGACCTCATGCTGCCAGGCAGGCACTTGTGCTGCTGAGCTAAACCCTAACCCTTCTCATTTTTTTTTTTTTTGTTTGTCTATTTTGTTTTGTTATTTTGAGACAGATTCTTGCTGTGTAGTTCAGGCTGGCCTTGAATTCACTACAGAGCCCACGATGGTCTTGAACTCGCAGGGGCCCTCTGGCCTCAGCTCCTGAGGGATGAGTTTACAGGGTGCACCACCATGCCTGGTAAAAGTCTCTCATGTTACCAGACTCCCGCTTTTTTTATTTGGGAAAGCTGGCCTCGTTTAGAAAGGCATACCCTATAATCAAGTCAGACAGTGCTAGTTTGAATGCCGTTAGAGATTATCTGATGAAATCAGTAAAACAACAATGAAAAGAAATGAAGTTTAAGAGCGGTTGGATGAGGATGCCAAGTGCTGAATCCAGGCGGCCTGGAAGACGAGCCAGGAGGGAGGAGCTGCACCATGGCGTCCACCTTCTCAGGAGGGCCACTGCCTGGCTGCTATGACCACAGCACCTGGCCACTGTCTGGAGCTTTGAGGGAAAGGGAGCAGTAATTTTGTGAGCATATTATTACTGTTATTTTTTTTTGCAGTGCTGGGAATTGAAGCCAGCACCTCAGGAATGTTAGGCAACTGCTCTGCCACTGAGATCTGTCCCCGGCTGTTCTCTGTTCTTTATATTGAGACAGGGGCTCCCTGACTTGCCCAGGTTGGCCTCAAACTTGCAATCTTCATGTCTCAGCCTTCCAAGTAGCTTGAGTCACAGACATAAGCTACCACACCCGGCTAAATGAATCACTTTAAACCTCTCCAACTGCCTTGTCACTTCTGAGGTATTCTCTCGAGAGCTCTCATCCGTCATAGAGGTTTTCTCAACTGGTATTTGTGGTTGGTTTTACATTTTTCAAACTACCATGTGTCTCACTAAACAATCTCCACCCAACCCTTAGATCTTTTTGTTTCTTCATAGTAACTGCAGGTTCATTCATCCCAGTAGGGCAGTGAGACAGGTAGTGAGCAGTATGGGTGTGCACGCGTGAGGCAAGATTCCTGGAACACCATCCCCTCGCATTGTCATGACGGGCTCATGTTGTCAACACTTCTTGAAGACAAACAAGCTCTGAGGATTTTCATTTGAAAGGTCACAAGCTTGGTCTCCCCCAGGGAGGCCATGGGCCCCGGCAGGCAGGGAGCCCCCACTCCCAGAACACAGAGCAATTAAAAGACGAGGTTCAGCCCGGCCTGTGCTAACCTTGCTCGCTGTCCATGTTTTTCAGTAACCGCGGACCCAAATGTGCTGCGAAGTGATGTCTTCACTGAGTTTTTAAAGCTGGCACAGCTGGTAAGCTTGCTCTTCTTTGCTGGGGCCTTTACGCTCTTGCAGAACATGTCTCCTTGTTAACGTGAGCATGCACACACGTGTGCTTTAGCCTGCAGTCCCCACAGAGCCCGGACTCTGATAAATAGGTTCATTTAGAATAAATTTAAGGATAGCTTCCATGTTGGAAATTTAGATTCTTGGTGAAAAACAAAACGTGGCACTTAACTTTTGGTTCATTTTTTTTTTTAATGCAGAAACTTTTTCTGTAGCCTAACTATTGTTCAACTTAAAACTAGTCCCTAAGAAGTAGGCTTAGAGTGTAGAGAAAGAGAAGTCGCCCGTAGGAGTCATTGAGGAGTCCTGCTGATCTGCGAGCCCAGTTCTGCAGCTGAGATTTCCAAGGGTGTCGTGGGATTGACAATAGGACAGCAGCCCTCAGCAGCTCTCACCCTACATGCATATTCTCTGCTCCAAACTTTACTGTAAATAGAGAAAATTCAGCTGAGACATGAGCAACTCCCTTTCACTGGGAAGCCTAGAGAATCACTGGCCACGTGGCCTCTGGGCTGAAACATGGCTAAGTCGATTTATTTAGTGCATCCATCATTGCAGCTGTACATATGGAAATATTTTATGCCTGCACATATGGGCTGGACTGGGAGGCACTACTAAGGAATGCCCGGCCACTCACAGACCTGCTGTCTCCCAGACAGAAATGTCCTCAGTGCGTCACTGGGGACCCAGTCCTGTGCCCCGTGCACTGAGCACTGATCTCTAGACTAGTTGCTCTGAGGTGGGCCTCAGTCCAGGAGGCAGGCAGTGGTGTGCCTTGATTTCCCGCCTGTCAGTCCTGGCACAGCATTTGTGGGTCCTGCCACCTCCAGAGGCTGCTTGCCCAATTAGCTGGTGGGCAGTGCAACTAATGTCATCTTCTCCATGTGACATGGTGAGAAGACAGCTGGAAGGGACTTCCATGGGCCTAGTGTGCTCTGAAGGAAGTGATGTCTTTGAGGTTTTCTGGATGAGCAGGAAGGGTGGATGGATGGGTGGGTGTGTGGATGGATGGATAGATGGGTGAGTGGATGGGTGGATGCATGGATGGATGGAGAGAGAATATATATTCCAGTTTCTTTCCCCCATGAGAGTCAACAACAGATGTAGTATCTAGAAGTATGAGGAGACTCAGGACGGGTGAAAGGGAAGCAGAAACTGCTTGTTCTGGAGGATGAGTCCCCTCTTCCTCTCCTGCTGCCAAAGACCCTGACCTGACCCCTCCCAACCAGAGAGGGGTTCTCAGTGCAGTGTGAGAGTGACACCTGTTCAGCGGGACTGGTGGGAGGCGGGGAGGGCTGGAGTGAGTGCGTCTGCCGGGCTGTGCAGGAGTCCACAGAGCAGGGAGGAGGCAGTGCTCCTCTGCAGCGGTCACTGCACCTGGTAAGTGCAGTGGTCTGCAGCACCTGGTGTCACTGCCAAATAATCACATGTCACAGGCCTGGCCTTTGCAGGCTCAGAAAATAGAAGGGCAGCTCCATCCCTCAGCCTCCTGCAAGGATCAGGGGAGACCTCAGAAGCTCCTCTGAGGAAAGCTCCTGTCAAAGAGGCCAAAGCCCAGCTGAAGAGGAAAAGGGATTTTTGCCCCCGAACAGACGGCTCCTGTGTTGTGCCCCATGCTCCGTGTTATTCTCCTGACTTGTTGAGGGAAGTGGTTTTATTCCAGATTGAACAACTTGTCTATTCTAATGAACAGAAAGCCTGGGGTCCCAAACCCGGAGGCCCCACCCCATTCACATGAGGAGATGTTCCAGGGAGGTAGCCCTGTACCCCAAGCCTTTGTGTCCCCTCTTCTCTTGTGAATCCAGATGCCTCTTTCCTCAACTCACTATATCTTGAATTTTCTGGCCTGCAATCGCTTTATAGTAAAAGAGAGTTTTGAACTGTAAAACTAATGTCTTTAGACTCAATACTGTTTTATGCTCCTGGTTTATCAAGCAGGGTATTCTAGAGGCCCGCTGTGCCGCTGCACATTTGAGGAAAAGGGGCCCTGGAAGGCATTCGGAGAGGCTTGGGTCGCAGGCCACTCGCATAAGAGGATCTGCCCACAGTGGCTGTGTCTGGGGCTCTGTGAAGAGGCTGGTTCCCCACTTCCTCTTAATGTTCCCCCGTGCCTTGCAGAGGAATGGTGAGGGCACATTGCTGGGTGTTGGGAGTGTTTAGAGCTTGGTGATCCACGGACACAATCTTTGTGGCTAAGAAGCCTCTAGAATCAGGCCGATGTGATTAGAACAGACCATCCACAAAGTGCGCTGAGCTCCTGATGAAATTCAGAGATTTCTCAGGTTGTTAGATTCGATTTGCACATTTTAAAGTGTGGCAAGGCTGTCCTTGATAATTAAGGATTCCGAGATGTATTAAAACTAAACGCATTCTTCGAAGTTTTCTAGTGTGACTTGCGCTGTGTCAATCCGACCTCCCCCTCAGTCAAGACAGTGGCTTATTTTATGTTTTGTGCTCTACACAATCCGTCTTCACCAAGCTGGCCTTTTCTCTCTCTCTCTCTCTTTTTTAATTGTTTTTACATTGTATTAATTATACGTAACCCATGAAGACCTTCTAGTAAAATTCAGATATATCACAAATAGAGCCAGATTTGTTCTGGATTACCAAGCCAAACCTACTTCATCTATTTCATTGCACAAAGATTCTTAGATGCGATTCATCTCCTTTAGTGTCTGGTTCTTAAAATGTTGATTTTTTTAATGAAAGCAAAATGTGCCTATAGTTTTGAAATTAAATAGTGTTACAAAGGTGATAATATAACAGTCCCCTGCCTTCTGGAAGCAGTGTGTTTCAAATATTTTTTGGCTTTTTTGTCAGACATTTGAAAGTCTGGAAGGTAAGCTTACATATGAAATTACCTTGTACGATGTTCCTCAGTTTTTCAAAATTCTCTACTGACTTTACAAGAATGAGGATTGCAGTTTCCTTCTATCCTCTCTTCCAGGTCTACTTTTTTCCCAACTTTTTTAGGTCACAATTTAAAAAAAATTAAATCCTTAGTGTTTTCTTCATTATATAATCTGGAAATTTTTTAAATGTGGAACCAGATATCCACTTACTTACGTGAACCATGTTTATTTTTCTTAGACTTAAACCTGGATTATTTAAAAGAAAAAACAGATATGCTTGGCTGCCCTTAAGCTTTTGACTCTTCACATACTTGTAATAGTACTAGAGACAGAATTTCCCCTGTGGTCAGACAGCTCAGATTTCTTTTCCTGGAGGTGATCTACTCAGAGGCACCATCTTCCTGTTGTTTGAGGTGAGGAGACTCCACTACGTTTGCCTGATAGCAGGAAGTTGCCAAGAGAGGAGGACGAGGAGCAGGCAGGAGGCCAGGTAGCCTTGGAGGAAGGAGATTTGAATGCCATCTGGAACAGGCAGTGGAAGGACACCTCTCAAACTGAAGGTAGGATAAAGAGTGGGTGAGGCTTTCAGTGTAAGGGGAAGTGGAGCAAATTCCCATCTTAAATTTTCTTTGTGATTTATAGGAAGGGAGGTTAACTAGGGGAATGAGGAAGGAGGTAGGCGTGACTGGCATCCTGAGGCAAGTGGTGAAGGTTGGAATAGACTAATAGAATGCCATGCTTGCTCCATGGACAGAGAAAGGGAAGTGACAGGGACACTGCCAACCACTTAGGCTCATCCTTCAACCCTCTGCCTCCTCCGAGGTGGATTACGTCACCAAAACCAGCATCGTCATGTCAGAGCAAAACACTGGACACCATAGTCTCGGTGTTCTCTTCTAATACCCCTGTAGGGTAGGCACATATGGGGGGCTAGAGAGGGCAGTTATGCCTGTACACTATCCATTTCCAAATGCTCCACCATATGTGCCTCTGTTTAGTTCCTTTTATCACCCAGGTGATTTTGACAAATATGGCACTAAGATTCTTCAATTGTCTGTATAGCGCACTGTGCCCAGTGCACAGAGTCAGCCATGTAATTTAGCTTTAAACACATTAAGTACAAAACAGCCAGAAGCATTCAGTACACGGAGTGGAAATCAGCTACAGCTCTTATGTCAGTCAGTTTTATCTGGTTCTGTGGATTAACCCAGGGCCTGGAACATGCTAAACACATGTTAAGCCACTGAGGTATACCTGCAGCCCTAGACCCTTTTTCAATCATAAAATTATTTGAAAAGCAGCAGATTTATTCATCTAACTGAAAAGTCATAAAAGAGCAGCTGGCTGCCTATTTTCATCACCCTACTCCAAATGTTGCCTTCTACCACGTTGGCTTTACTCTTCCAGAGCCTCTCTTCATGTTCTGGTAAGAATGGCTGTTTCCTTCAAAATTACCACCCCAGCTCAGCACTGTGGCCTAACCTTGCTTCCTCCTTCTAAGGAAGAGGCAGCCTTAGGATGGGCTGGAGAAAAAGGTGGGCAGCAGCGCATGATTTCTCTCTTCATGACCAGTGGTGAAGCATCAGCTGTCCAATGAGCAGCGTGAGGACACAGAAGACCTTTGAGATAGCAACATTTCTAGGTTTGCATTTAAGAAACTTTCTGTGGAGGCTGTGTGGGGAAGACTGAACAGAGGAGACCTTGGGGAGGCCACTGCATGAGTCGAGGGCATTGACAGGGTCTGAGGTGCTGCAGGTGGAAGAGCTGGAGAGGAGATGGACCCAAGAGATGGTTTAACATGTGGAATATGTGGACTCAGGACCTGATTGCATTTGAATGTTGCAAACACCTTTCCAAATCCTTCTTGTCGCTTTTATTTCTTATTGTTGTCACTAAGTCATCTTGAAACTATGTGACTTCCTCTTCATTCCTGTCGCAGCAGTAATAAGACAGTGGGGCGGCCACCTGAGTGTTTGTGATGAGCATGGCCCTGGGCGTTACTTCCCTGAACCCTCTCTCAGTCCTCTGAGGTGATCATGGATATCAGCCTTATTTGGGGGCTGAAGTAATGAAGTTTGGAGATGGGAAGTTACTTGTCCAAGTATACACAAAATCACATGCTGTGAGTAATGGAGCCAGCACAGAAAACCTTAAATTTTGGAGCCTAAAGAGCCTTTGGACTGGCAAAGATGTGGGGGTGCTGGGAGGATCGATTCCACCAATGGCATGCATGCCTTGAGCATCACCTTGTCCTGCGCCTCACATTTGTTTGGCCATTTCTGAGTTGGAGCCTTTAAAATAAATTGGGAATAGCAAGTAAATTATTTCCCTGAGTTCTTTGAGCCATTCTAGCAAACTATGAACCTTAAAGAGAGTCATAAGAATGCCTGAATTGGTAGTCTGCTCCTTGGAAATGGAGGTAGATAGACACCCCTTGTGCAGCTGGCATGTGAACTGGGGAAATCCTTAAATTAATCATTTACCTGGTGGGATCTTGTGCCAGTTGTAGGTAACCTGTATCCAAACTGAATTAAGTGTTCAAAAGTTGGAGAATCGGTTCATGTGAGGGAAAGTGCCACACATTTTGTGTCAGAATAAAACAAAAAAAAACCTGAGATGTGGAGACTTTTAGGGATACTTGGAAATACTCAAAACTGTGACTTTATTGTGAGATTACTGCCAAGAAGGTGGATGATTTTATCAAGTGTTCTTTCTCCAAAATGGTTGCCCTGATGCTTTACTTTATTTTTATTTTAGTTTAAAGGTAATAAAACCCAACCAACCAAAACATAATAAATCCAATCAGAGCAAGCAGTGAGACTGGTGCAGAACTTTGAAGCAGGATAATAGGAAAATAACAATGGCTACCATAGTACATCTTGTTATCTTCACAGTAGTTGTCCATTCCATCAGATACAGCAAAGTCCAACCAAACAAAACAGAACAAAACCAATCAAAACATAATATTGAATAAAGCAAAACAATAAATTGGAACAAAACAAAACAGTGAGATCGATACAGGATTTCAAAAACAAGACAGAAAGAGAGCCCCCATATTTGCTATATTGCGTACTGTTATCCTCCCAATAGATGCTCAGACTGCTGGCCCCAGGCTTGTAAAGTTAACCAAACAATACAAGCATTCAGTTGCTTTTTGTACCTCAGTTACTATCAATTCAGCCCATCCTCCGAACCAGCCGTTTGCTTGGTGGTGTTGGTGGGGATGGGGGGGGTGGAATGGGAGGGTTGGGGGATGTGTTGGTTGATGATTCTCAGCCCGCCTGCTGGTAGGCTCATGGTAGGCACTGACTTCTCTCTTCCTGGGCCCCACATAGCTCGTGTGGCTTCCCAGAAGGGCTGCCTAGTTGGTTTCTTGGTGGGCTCCTCCCAGTCTCAGCGTGGCCAACTCTTGAGAGGTGATGACTTGTCTCTTCCTGGGCTGGTTTTTTTTTTTTTATTTTAAATTTGGAAATTACTCATGCTTCATGTTATTGCTCTGCCTTGGCCCCTTTCCAACCCCATTCCAGATTCCAAGTCACTGTCTCCTGTCTCTGCTCAGGTAACCCTTGTACGTCAAGTGCTATCTCCCTAAACAGTGGTGGGAAAGGTGGCTGCTAACTGTTCTCTTACTGTGAAGTGATGGAAACTGACTGTGCTTTCCTTCTTCTTACAGAACACATTTAACATCACTGCTGAGAAAGCTTTTCTCGATATATTTCTACCCAATGGAAGAAGCATTAATGTAGAAATTCTAACATCAGCTACTGCTGAAAGAGTCTTAGAGGTAACCTTTGTTTAAACTCTAGCTCCCAGACAAATTTAGGAAAAAAATCTGTTTGAAAGTCAGGGACTGGGCTGTGGCCACCTTCAAGAAGCTTCCTGACTGGTTTTACCTAATGGGTGATATCTGCAGGAGGTATTGGAGTGCAGGAGACTGACCCAAGAACCCAGGCTACAGCCAGTTCTCTGAGCTTCCTTGATTTTACCTGCTCTGTGACTTCCAGGGCTCTGAGAGGGCCTTTCTAAGGCTGTTTTCACTTTCTCCAGACATAGTCAGGATGTGGCCTGAACACATGCAGAGCGCTTCATTATGGATGCCCCATGGTTTGGTATCAGAATGGGTCTGAAACAGGTCAAATTCACATGGTCATGACAAAATCTGGCTGAGAGTAATAGGGACTTCTCAAAAGCCTCTTATCAGCCTGAAGGCCCAAGCCTGCCTGGTCATCTGCCTCAGTGGAGCTGCCTGTAGCCCTGGATTAGGAAACATGCATTCTCCAGATCTTGGTCCTGCCCAGAACCACTGTTCCTTTCACTTGTGCAGATTGAGTTTTGTGTCTCAGCAGTGAGAAAGTAGGTAAGACACAGTCTACACATGTATCAGAACAACATGTGATATCCTATAACTATGTATAATGTTTATGTGTCAGTTTTTTTTTTAAAGACCAGAAGTGCCAGGAAATCATTTGCATGTGGTTATTCTTACTAAGGGCTCGGAGCAGAGCACTGGCAGGGAGGGAAACAACCTTTTGTATTATGCAAGTTCTTGCTAAGGGAAGATCAGAAGTGGTCCAGTGTTGAGAGGTCACAGCCTGGTAACCCACTGGTGAAGAGGAAACCACAGGTGTTGAAATGGAAGCAGACTGGTGGCACTGCTGAAGAGGCACTTGGAAGGGGGCAGCCCGTGCCTGGGGTCTGAAGTTTTCACCCAACAAATGTCACCGTAAATGACACTTGACTATCACAAGGAGCATCAAAGAGAAATAAGCCTCGGGTGGCAGGGGCAGGTCGAGCCCGTGTGCTTTTTTATGCTGGCTGAGTGGTGGCAAATGCCCTTTTTCTGAGTGTCCAGTAATCTAGCCCACAGGAAGGGCAGCTGGTGTGCAGGTCCCAGGGGCAGATTGACAGAAGGACACACAGGGTGTTCGTAGAGAATGATCGCTGCCCTCTAGGGACATTGGGCACCAGGGACATTGAGCACCAAAACAGATACGTGTCCACACCTGAGAGTGGACAGCCAGCCTCAGTGGGGGTGTTCATTGTGGTAGAACTGGTTTTTATATGCTTTGCTGTAATTTTTTATATTTCTAATTTTTCTGAAACGAGTATGTACCATCTTTAGATTCCAAAAAGCTTCCAGGCGGCCCCACGAACACTTGTTACTGATGTGTTGGGCTCACTTCCCATCTGCACGGCACCATCCAGAAGGGTGGTTGGCAGCCTAATGGTGCCCCTTCTGTTTGTCTCTGGCATAGGTGGTGTCACACAAAGTTGGACTGAGCCGGGAGCTCTCAAGCTACTTCGGCCTCTTTCTCATGCAGTCTTACAAGGAGGGCAGCCTCTCTGGTAAGAGCAATGAAGGCAGCCAGGAGGCGGGTGGGCAGGTGTGAGCAGGGGTGTGGAGATGTGGGAGTCTCTGCTGAGGTCACCTGCCTGCGTTGTGGTCCTTGAACCACTGTCCTTAGCCCTGGATCAAAGGTTCCGGGGAATGGAGGTCACATGTTTGCTCACAGTGGGCAGAAACGAGCAGTGCCATGATCAGGAGTAAGGCCACCTGTCATACCCTTAACGGCCACAAGTACCTGGGAGGTGGTCTGGAGTTACAAGTCAGGGGTTTGGGTGGGGCTGGGCCTGGGAGCTGTGATATGCTGGCCCCGGTACTAGGAACCTCTGGACCTATTTCTTCATCTGCATCACGGGGTAAAATATCTTCACCAAAGGGCTGAGATTTGACAAGGACCAAATAACATTTGGTTTTTGAATGCGCTATAGAAAGTTAAAATTTTATGCACACGTGACAGAATATTTTTATTGTGGTTTAATTTATTTTACTTTCTCATTTTAACGCTTTTGTATGTAACCTGTGTGCGCAGTTTGAACAAGGAAGCCTGTCTTTCCCTTTCTCTAGTTGTAAAAATGTTGGCAGAGTTTGAACTTCCTTATGCTAGTCTTCGGAGTTCTGAATTGGAAAACTGTAAGGTTGGACTCCGAAAGTGGTGAGTACTTAACAATGACAGAAACCACTGGTGACCAAGGGTTAGAGCCCCTGTTAGAGCCCTGACCAACAGTTCAACTACTGGGTAGATCTCAACCAGAAATGTAGGGGAAATTAACAAGGGAAGGGGAGGGGAACCACAACATTTGTCCTAAAGTTAGGATGTTAGGGATGACTTCCACTCCTCAATTCTCACCTCTCTTGAGAGACACATGAAAAGAGCAGGCTTAAAAAGCCAGATGTGACAGCTCACGCCTGTCATCCCAGCACTCAGAAGGCTGAGGCAAGAGGATCGTTGCAAATTCGAGACCAGCCTGGGTTACAAAGTGAGCTCAAGGCCAGCCTGAACTACACAGTGAGACCCTGTCTCAAAAAGTCCAAAAGAGAGAGAGAGAGAGGAAAGAGCAGGCTTGAGAGATGCTGGGTGAGAGGGGTGATGGAAGCAGGCCATGGAGAGAAGCTGCTAGCCGTGGGCTTGCTGTGGAATGGACAATACTGACTGGATCAAAGGAAAGATTTCTTTCTAATTACAATCAGATCGGGTTCATTTGTTCAGCTGTGATATTCTCTGTTATGAAGGGTGTGCTCAGCCAACTTGCAGGGAATTTGAACTCAAGTTATGTACCTGGGCCAGTCACATACCTACATTCAATGGGACACTAGTGCCCCTCTGAGGAAAACACTGTCATTTCCCCAGGAACAGGAGGTCTTACGGAAATTAAAGAGAAAGTTATACTTGTTACTGGTGTCCTTACGCTCCGCTGATCCTATAATCTGTAATCGCAGCGTCTAATAGCAGAGCTGTCTTGTTGCTGCCCCAGCCCAGTTAGCTTAGAATCAGAGTACAGCAATTTAAAGGACATTTTGAATTCTAAGAATAGTCACTAACTTGATCTTGTGATGCTTCCTAGAGCTCTGGTTGGGGCTTTGAACTTTGTAAGGCTAGTCTCTGCAAGGCTAGAAGTCTATACTGTTACTGAGAAGTATTCGGAGAAGTGAGCAGCATCTTTGGCATGGAGCATGGAGAGAGGGGAGGACTCATCCTCCTCTAAGAGTTTAGAGAAAAACTTCCGGAAGAGCGAGCACCAGAGCACAGCTGTTCTTGGGATCAGAGTAGGCAAATCTGAGTGCCGTCTGTCTCGGGTCTTAGCTTTATCGCCCTAGCCAAGCTATTCAAGCCTTCTATGCCTCAATTTCTCTTTCAATAAAATTTTAATAATAAATAATAATAGCGTTACCCCCTAGAATGATTGTAAGTAATCCTATAAACAGTTTTGGGCATGCTAGATATTGTCATATTAGTGATAACAATGTTTCTAATAACCAAAAATAAAAAAATCCCTGGGGCTGAGGCTTTTTATTCATGTGTTCTCATGAGAATTTGAGGTCAAAGTTGAGGTGAAGCATTGTCTTGAAGCTTAAACTAGATATTAGGCTGGCTTTGCCCGTGTCTCTATTAAATAGGCAAATTCTAGATGATAAGTAAAAGATAAAGCATCTTCCCACCACAAGCCACCATCTCATTCCAGGCAGGTTGCTTCTTTGCTCATGGCCCTGGGGAAAGGAGAAGCCCAATAATGTTGGCAGTGAGGGTCAGTTCCCTGGAAGTGGACATGGTATCACATCCCTTGGTGCCTCCGATGGGAGTAGACCAGTTCCAAGAGCTTCATGAGTCCAGCAGAGCTTTAAAGACTTTTCTCATCCATGACATCTCTGGGTGCCTTTCTCCAGTGATGAAATGGTTCCTTCCAGACAGAGGGCCTTGCTGTGAGCCCTCCAAGCTCAGCCTCAGTGGGACTTGGGCCTCTTCAGCTCTCTGGTGCCACAGTTGCTATTTTGTGCTACATAAATGCCCCTGGGCTGTTGGCAAACAGCTACACAGAAGGGTGTAGGGTGCTTCTTTGCTTCTCCCCACCCCCAAGATGAAGGTGATCTTTGAGTACCATTTTAACCCTTTCCCTGATCAGTTCAGTCACCCTGGGCAGCTGGATGCAGCTGCCGCTTGCCGCTGCCTGGTGGCTGGGTGTCAGTCAGCCATGGCCCACCCTTCCTGACTGTCTCTATCTGTGCATCCTCAGTGTCCTCTTAGGCTTACATGGTCATGAATTTCAGCTCATTCTGGTGATTCTGGATATGACAGGCAGACAAGGAGCCCCTACTATTTATAAGTCACCCTGCCAAGACCCAGAGAAACAACTTCTGAACAGGGCTTAGGGGTCTTCATAACTGATGTCCAGAAAACTTGGTCGGAGCAGTGGCTAGGAGAACTGCAGCTGGGAAAGCACAGAGGGTGGGTTGCTAACACAGCCTTGGGAAGCGGGGACCAGAGGGAAGGATGTGGGGTGGCGCTTGCAGAGAGAGATATGTAAGTCTGGGAAGGAAGGCAACAAAGCAGTGATCTTCCAGGCCAGCCAGGAGAAGAGAAAGCACTGGATGGACTGCAGAGATGGGCATGAGGATGACAAGAAATGGGTGCAAATTAAAGCAGGCTGGTCCCATTCATGAAAGCAAACACTACACAATCTGCACTCGGAGTCTCTGAAAGGTTTCATTGGAAGGGCCCCTCTGGTAGAATGTGTGAAGGTGAGGCAGAGGCCTGGGAAAGGTTCCCAGGGTCGTGCTAACAGGTGACAAAGATGGCTGTGCATGGGGTGCTGAATAGGCTGTGGGTACATGGGGGTCAGGTGACCATGCTGGGAGCTGGTGCTGGGGCTGGAGCTGGGCAAAGGGTGTCCAGGATTTGCTGGTCAAGAGCAAGGCTAGATGTGAACAAGAAGGCAGTCTGTTCCCCAAAACCTTTGTATTTTTGCTTCTTTACTCTCAGAGCCCACCAGGTAAGAGCGCATAGCATGAAGAAGACAGGATGCAGAGGAGGTGGCGGGAGAAACAAAGGCTAGGAGAGGTGGGGTGGGGCTTCTCGGGAGGAGACCAATGCGTGCCATTGGCCACGTCCTCTGAAGTCGCTCAACACTTCGACCTTGTGCAGGTACATGGACCCGGCCCTCGACTCCATACTGATGGCCTGCGGAGCAGCTGTGGAATTGCTTTATATGCAGGTGAGTGGACCAGGCATTAGAGGAACTGTTTAAAAATTATAGTACTTAAGAAGCCTGTCTCCAAAACCTAGAACATGCAGAAGTGGAGAGAGAGAGAGAGAGAGAGGTTATCTGAGACTAGAGGAGAGGGAAAGGGAAAGGTCCTTTGCCCTAGGTGCAGTTTTTGTTGGGTATAATGAGGAAGTTTTGGTATAGATAGTGGTGAAGGTTGCCTGACGTGGTGAATGTGTCTGTGCCATCTCACCTGTACTTATGAATGGGCAAGATGATAAATGCTACATCATACATATTTTAATCACAACTTGAAAAATGAAAATAAAAGTAGAGGAGTTTGGAGGGAGGAAAAATGAGCTCTCCCTGTGTTTTAACCGACACTCTGAATTTATGGGTGGCACCCTTATCAGCAGGGCAGTGGTGGTGAACCTACAGCCCATGTGTCACACAGCAGGTCCTGCGTTAACACAGAAAGCTCTAGAGGTTCGCCATCACTGACGCAGGCTAAATTGACAGCCCTAGAAAGGATATCACTCCTAGCATAGGTTATATGTGGTCCAAAAGTCTCACACCAGCATAACCTGCTTTTCTTGGAGGCAACAGGCAGCCACCTGCTCCAGGCAGGCTTCATGGGTGCGTGGCCTCTGTAGTTGCTTTGGGCCCTGGGCTTATTTAATGCCCTGCCTCAAATTATCCTGAAATTCTTAATAGTTTTTGCAGAATTGACCCCACATTTTCAACTTGCACTAAGTAAGCTCTGCCAGTCATATCTTTGATCTTGCCTACCCACTAACCTGCAGAGAAGTGGAAAGGAATTCCCCTTCCTTGGTCTCATGGTGTGGGGAGGCAGTGAGTGGTCAGCAGCTCTGCCCCTGATCACCCTGCAGACCCCTCCTCATGTCTGTCAGCTTTACCAGGTCACCATTCTCAAAGACCTGCTCCTCCCGGGCCCCGTGCGTGATTACGGAAGGGAAGAAAGTTCTTGCACACTGTTCTCAGTAGCCAGCAGCACTGTGGGCCCAATCCTTACCCCAAAGGCCCCTACCTAGGCTCAGTTACACCCAACTCCCCAGCTCCTTGTTCCACTGATGTAGGCTAATTTGACGCCTAACCCCTGCCAGCCCTGAGTGTGTCCACCATTTGACAGCGCCTGTGGATATGTCCACACTTGTGTGCTTTCTTGTCTCACCCAGCTAGGATGATATCTGTAAAATAAGGTATTTAAGGGTCAGAAATTTAGCTCAGCGGCATAAGCACCTGCCTGGAAAACACAAGGTCATGAGTTCAATCCCCAGTATCTAAAAATAAAAAGAAGTGAAGAAGAAGAAGGAGGAAAAGAAGGAGGAGGAGGAAGAGGAAGAAGAGGAGGCACATATATGTCACTGCCTGATCTCCAGAATTTAGAACTGGTTCTGGCACTTGATAGGCACTAAAGCCCCATGATGAGCCTGACATTGCTTCATTAAAGTTAATGATAACACTGTAAGGTATTTGGTACCACCCACATTTCGAGAAAAGAGAATCTTTAAGTTTGCTGACAGAGGATGGCACAGTTCTGGCATGAGTGGCTAGAAGATATACAGAGAGTTTAACAGTACGTCCTTGCAGGTAGCTTTTATGTACTTAAAAGGTAGAATTGAAGAGAGGATAGATGTTGGGAGGGTCATTAGTCTTAATGAGCTCTTCAAGGCAACAGGAGACATTAGTAATACCTGCCATAGCGCTGTGGCTGCGGTCAAAAGGTCAATGGGTGGACGCTGATGCTTCCATGTAGTGGAAAGCAGAGGCAGGAAAGAACCTGAGTGCCTATCTCCTTAGGTGACCTAGGAAACCAAGATCACTAATAAATCACCTCCACAAAGCTCTTCTGAATTCTTAAGGAGACAAATCAAAATAACACGTATTAAATGTTTACTATTCACCATTGTATTTTTGTGGCTAGTCTGCAGCTTGAGTTCATTTCCTAGTATGCTTCACCCATCCTTACTAATGCTCAGTGTACTCACACCATGTCATATGAGTTGGAGTGTAATTTATCATTGAATGTTTATTGTGCCTCATTGTCACTGTGCGCTGGCAGTTATACTAGGTTATCAATTGTGTCTGGCTTATTGGAGATCGCATCCTTGGTAGAAAAACACATCACCCAAGTCTCACGTTGTTCCCGCAGGAAACAGTCTTTGTGGTATCGCTTCTGGTTCTCATTGTGATAAGAGATTAGGACAGCCGGCATCATAACATGATTTTTACGTGGCATTAGGAGTTGTAAGCCAGAAAGAAATAGGTGAGGCTATTTCTCATGGGATAGCTGGAGGGGAAAAAAGGTGGCTTTGGGAAATGCATACTGCGCAACAAATCTAAAAATGCACTGTGTCCCTTCATCTGCCTGTCACTGCTCTTTTTCCCCATGGTCTTGGGTCAGCCATTTCCCCCTCTGAAGCACCGCGATGCCCTGTGAGCATCAAGTTGAACTCATAGTCTCCTAAGTTTTCTCCCAGATTTAACAGACAGTTTTTCAAACTTCATCTCATTGTATGGCAGTTTCCAAAAAATTGTAATCGATGACTTAATAACCTTAATCATCATCATCATCCCCTGAATCCATGCAGAGGCCTGAGAAGATGAAATCTGTAGGGCAAGAGGGCTCATGGCTGCAGCAGCAGCCCGCGGTTGAACCATTGCAAGCCTGCACTGGAAGGCTGAAGGAACTGGAGACCCATGTCCATCCACAGGCAAAGGCGAAGCCCAGAGCTCTTCAGAGATGGACACACTTCCTTGTTTCCCTTCGTGTTCTATGCATGCTACAATCCTATTGGTTGGTGCCACCGAGATGTGTCTCGTCCCTCAGTTTGCTGGCCTACATGCCAGTCATTCACAGACACGCCCAGAACAGCGTGGTAGGAATCTGCTGGGTGTTTCTTCATCCATTCAGGTTGGCTGAGCAGGACTAATTCCATATCCTGTTTGATTAGACAAATCTCCTCTTCAACATCATTGTCCTGTGCTAACGGTTCTTGTAGGCACTACACCAAGCCTGGCTGAGGAAGGATAAAGACGCTTAGTTCTTCATGCTTACACCAGTTCCAGCCTGGCATGATTTTGGGGTTCACTTGGAGAAGAGGTGGTGACAAGGAGAAAGCTGGAGGGAGGGTGGCTGCCCAGCTGGGAAAAGTACAGCAGCGTGGGCAAGATTAGGAGGCCTTGGCGAAGAGACCAGCCCCGGCTTTGATCTAACTTCTGCCATTTACACGCTGAGTCATCCTGAGCATCATAAAGCTCCCCTGGCCTCAATTTACACATCTGTGAAATGACAGTAACTTTTCCTACCCCACATAATAGTTGAGGAAAAGTCAGTGAGAAAACCTACCTATAGCAGATCCCTAATACATTATTTTTTTTTTCTCAATTCCACATCCCTTTCCTCCAACCTAAAGAGCAATGTCAAAAACATTTTGCTTTTCTTTCTCCTCTGGGAGATTAAGCGCACCCTGCCTGGTCACTGAGGGACTTGAAGCAGACTTCTGTTCAGACCAAGAGGCACAGAACGGTTGCACACGTGCTGAACGCGGGCTGCTGGAGCGAAGGGCACAAGTTCTTCCCACCAGGGCTGACAGTCTTACTGAGGAGCACGGCACACGCTTCCCTGTCATGAGAAGTCACAGCAGCACGAGCTCTCTGGGCGCAGCTGACCACCTGGTCAGCTCTTACCAGAGCCTCTCGGGGCCGGGCTGGCTCCGGCGAAAGGCGCTGGCTGCCTGCAGAGGTGAAGTGCCCAGAAACTGGTGGGAGCAGAGCAGATCAGGCCTGTGCAGCCCGCGGGCTGGGTTGCTTCAGCTTTTCATCCGGCCTCAGAAGGATCCTGACGGCTTCCACAGGGACCATTGTCCTCCAAGTGACTCCTGCCATTGAGCCCAGTGATGTTGTGCTGAAATCTGCCATGGCTTAGAAAACAACCAGGAAGCCCATTAGGAATCTGGAATTTGCTGAATGCACTTAGCTGCAGCTGAGCAGATGGGGCCTGACCATATGTTCTATTTTAATTTATTAATGTTAAATTTGTTTTCATCTTATAAAAAAGTTACAAATATGTAAGACTCCAAAACAAAAGTATATCTCACCTCAAACTTTAAACCAGCTAATCAGCTTTATATTTAGACTGTTAATTTTGGGGGTGTATATAGATTTCATTTATTTGCACATCCATTCTTTGACTCATAAGTATGCAAACTAGGTTTGTTTTTATATGTGTTTGTCATTTTAGAAAAATCAAGGTCTATTATTACATTCTTATTTTATAACTTGATATTCCTTTTATGTATCAATAGCTGGCAGATTTTGCCCATGTTGTTGAATAATCAGTATGTTTTTAATGATGGCGTTACCCAGTATTTGGTTATATGTGAATTCAGTTACCTACTCTGGCATTTCTTAACAGCACCTACACTGCAGGATGGCTGTAGCATCGACTTTTGTTGTAAGTAATTAGAGCTTTGCCTGAGCTGTGCTAAACATTCTCAGTTATCCTTCCATATCCACAGGGGTTTGCACCAGAACCTGCTGCAACACCAAAATCCAAAGATGTTCCAGTCTTTTATAGATATAACAGTGTGGTATTTGCATATGATCTACCATATTCTCCTGTATAATTTAAATAATCTCTAGATTATGTATCCAGATATGATGAAATTGCTGTGTAAATTAATTGTTATAGTGCATTTAGTATGTGGGGGGTAAAGTTTTTCCATGTTGAGTAAAGATGCAATTTCTGAATATTTTCCATCCACGGTTGGTTTAATCCATGGGATGAAACCCATGGATACAGGGATGATGGTATCTAGTTTTCATTCATAAGTTGAAAATTTGTTGCTATTACAAAAATACAGTAATAGCTCTATCAATATATTTTCCTCACATCTATGTTTATGATTCTTGTAGGTGGTTTTAGATTTGTAATACTAAATTATTTTCAGAAAATATTACCAATTAAATCCATCACTCCTATAAGAATGTTCTGTGTTCCCAAATCCTTATCAATTCTAGTTGGATGTCTTAGTCTTTGCCAAATTAAGAGGAAAACATCCTTTTGTCACTAGTGAGGTTGAATGTATATTTGTCATTTGGAATTCCTTTTGGTCAAATGCCAGTGTATATCTTTCATTCATTTTCCTGTTGACGATTTTATATTTTTATTGCTTTCTATAAATATTTACTCGTTACCATAATGATGCAGTCATTTCCCTTGTTTTACCATCTGCTTCTTAGTTTTGTTCTTGGTGTTTTTTATGTTTAGAAATTTATATTTTCATGTAATTATATATGATCATTCCTTCCTCATACATTTTGTCTTTGAATCTTAAAAAGATAATCCCCATCTCAAAATCAGATGAATGTTCTCATCTTTTTTTTTTTTTTTTTTGTCTTTTTCTTTTTTGCCAGTACCAGGGATCAAACTCATGACCGCACACTTGCAAAGCAGGCGCTTATGCCGCTGAGCTAAATCCTGAGCCCGAATATTCTCATCTTTTTTGTCTAGTTCATTTATGTTTTTTTCAAAATTAAATCTTTAATTTCTGTGGAAATTATTTTGATGGGTGATATGAGGAAAAAGAATAATTTTATTTTCTTTGATGCATGTTACCAGTTGCCTCCAAAATGTCAGACAGTCTTTTTCTGTCCCTTTCTTTAAAAAATAACCCTTACAATGTGATAACTCCTAACACAGATACACTTCGGTCTGTTTTATAACCCTTCATACATGAGCATGTTTTTGTCAGATAACTCTTTTCTGCTAAAGCTGCTAATTATATAATTTATATTATTTTAAGGCAGTGCAGGACATTGAAAAAGAATGGATTAAGCCCACACAGGCACAGAGGCAGCAATTAGACGCTCTTCAGAAAGAAAACAATCAAACCAAGGTGAGTCGAATACCGTTCGGAGACATGTATGGGAAAGGAGTTCAGGAAGCTTCAGAAGTGGGCTGTCACTATTCTTTATAAACCCATCATGCCCTAACAGTGAGGCTCTTTTTAAAAATAAGAATACTTTCTCTGACTTTTCTGACTAGTGAATTAATACAGGCCTTTCTAAAACATTCTAAAAAAAGACAGTATATTGTGAATGCTTTGTAAAGTTAATTAATATAGATCCTCCACAATATTTTGAATGATTCCAGAGTATTCCATTACACGGCTGTGTTATCATTTAGCTTGCTAGTTTCCCAGTATTGGAAGTCAAATTGTTTCCAGCTTTTACTGCAATAAATCACTCTGGCAGCAAGTGCCATGAGGCCCAGAACTGTGTCTAATTTGTATACTCTCTGTGTCCCCCACACCTGGTACAGTGCCCCCCAAACTCTGCAGCCAACACCTCCACATTTGAGTGTGTGCTCTGTTTTCCTAAGAAGTTATTTCTAAATACTCATTTTAAAGCTTTCATAAAGGAGCCACCCCCTCATGTACCTCCTGCCCCAGAGTAGCACATATGAGTCTGGCAGACAAGACAGATTTAACCAAAGCAGGGGCCCTTAGAACCCATTCGCCGTGTTTGCAACTGCAGCATTGATACTGAAAATGTGACAAAAACTTAGAGGACTCATTTATACTTAGATTGATTAGGGAGTCATTCTCCAAAGGCTCAGACACCTTGAGATTTTTATTGGACAGGGGGAAAAAAGGAAAAACAAAACAAAAGGGAAAAGTACGTAGTGCCACAATTTAGAAACCCCAAAACTTTGGGATTCCACCTCAGCTTTGTCATAAACAGTTTAAAGTTTAATTTGTCTGTGTTTGTAAATTTTGACAGAGTACAGCTTCCAACCAAAAAATCTGGTTTTATTATGCTGCTTGGTTTTACCAAAATGTGTGTACTTTTTGCACACAACAAAATTTATCTTCTATGATAGATACATGCTCTGAATTTAACATATGACATGTGGTATGGTCTTCTAAAAATTACTTTAACTATGTGAACTAAATTTTTAAAATCGAATCATTATTGAAATTAACTTGTTTTCTCTCCAAAACATCCATGTGTAGCGATTCCCCAAATTTTTTATTTGTACAGTTCTTCTGCTAGTGGAAAAAATACATAGACAACTAGTGCTTTACTTTATGTACTTGAACAGTAAAATTTGAAGTAGTTGAAAATGAGTGAAATTAACTCCAACAAGAGTTATTGGACCTATATCAGAGATAGCTAACTGTGGGCCTCCGGTTTTGTAGATGAAGTTTGATTGGCACCCAGTCACTCTGCTTTTTAAGTTATCTAAGGCTGCTCTGCCTGGGATGCTGAAGGTGAGAAGCTGCAGTGGAAAGCTGGGCCCCCCAAGCTGAATATAGTTGTATGACTTTTGATAGATTGGACAGTTTGCTAGTTCCTGTTTAAAATGAAAATATATAAACATACCTTCTATAGCTATATGTGTTAAATTGTCTTTTTTAAGTGAAAAAAAAATTTTTTTTGGTCTTTTTGAGACAGGGTCTCACTGTGCGTTCAGGCTGGCCTTGCGCTCACTTTACAACCCAGGCTGATCTTGAATTTGCAACGATCCTCCAGCCTCAGCTTCCCAAGTACTGGGATCACACCGGGCCCAGCTGTTCAAGTGTAATCTTCTTAAAAGAACTAAATTTCAAGTCAATGATCCTTGGATTATTGACTCTAGTTTCACCTAGTAATACTGCAGTGTTCTTTTACAAATGACAAATGCCAGTAAGCATTTTGAGTAAGTTCTTTATTTATTGCAAATTTTCTTGAAAACTATAGCTTCATTTTTTATTTAGCACATTCATTTCTTTTAGCTTATTGCAGCCAAGAGATATTTGCAATTTTTAAAAATCATGGTATCAAATCATAAAAAAATAGATTTGTACTATATAATAAAAATTATCATAGTAAGGGCATGAAACTGCTGTATCTTCGGTGGCAAGAGGACTCAGCCCCTGCCCTGCAACAAGTCCTCCCACTTGGTGGCATTTGCTGTTTCTCCCTGACCCAGCTGAAGCCCAGGCAGCTTAAGCATCACCCAGGCCAAAGCGTGAACTAATAGTGAACCTGTCCTTCTGGTATGCAAGGACAGTAGCTCTGCACACTTGTCCAGCTGGTGGCAGGAGATCAAAAGTCTGCCGTGTCTCACCACCTCTGTGTTGGTACGATTATGTTTCACTTTATCAGCAAGTCCTTGATATAGTGGTGGAAAGGGAAACACAAGTTACCTGGCGTCAAGAAGGGATCAGGAAAGAGCAAGGCTGTCACTGGGCACTGTGGCCTTTCTGATTTAACCACATGCTAAAGTGACAGCTCCGCTGTCTCCACACACATCTTCCACGCCATCAAGCCAAATATGGCAGACGCTGCAGGGGCAAGGCGGAGTCACCAAACTGCTCTCAGATAACCCAAATATAATTGATAGTGGTGAGACTTAGTTTAAAAATAAACACTCCTGATCAGATGTTCACAGGACAATATGCAGGGACCTCAGTGTGAACTGCAAATGTTCTCTGTTCTTAGATCACGTCAGCAATGAAGGGACAGGCTACATTTCAAAGTGACACAGAAACGTTCCCTTGGCATCTGGAGCTGTCAGGAACTGTCCTTAGGAAGCAGCCTACTCACCCTCATTTCATGGCATTTCCAAAATCTTTCCTCTGATAACCGATACCACCATCATACAAGAAAAAGCAAAAAAATGAACTACTTTTCCTCCTACATAAATCTCAGCTAAGCTTTTAAAGGAAGGCATTCTACAGACACCCTTTTGGTTTATATTGCTGAGATAAAATCATTTCCACTCTGTTTTATTCAGCCCACTCTTCTCATTCCCTCCAGGAGGAGAAAAGTGCTTGGCACGATCAATGATGAACTAGGCAGGATGGTCCCCGTCCTGGCAGGCACACTGAGGCCCTCCCAGGGCATCATCCTCACTTGGGCCCAGCAGGAAAGGGGGTATCCCTGTGAGGCAATCGCGTGTCACCCTGAAATAGTGGTTTTTCGATTGAGGTCTTCATCTGCGTCAAAGCGGTCTTTTGCTTCCCTCTTGGAGCAGTTTCTGCAGCTGTGCCAGGAGGTGCAGCTCTATGGGTCTGTGCAGCTGGATCCCTGCCGCTGTGACTACCCAGAGCCAGGCTGCGAGGCCGTGCTCTCTGTCGGCAGAGACAAGATCCACTGCTGCGTCACCCTGCCTGACAACCGGACCCAGGACATCACCTTCCAGATGAGCAGGGTGAAGTGCTGGCAGGTCACTTTCCTCGTGAGTATCCTGGTGCCTTGCTTTGTCACTGATTTAGAATCCCGCTGCTCTTGGAGGACAGAGTTGGCACCAGAAACAAGTTTGATGTTTAAATTTTTACCTGAGTGGAAGGCAGTAAGCCCCGTTAAACATCACCTGATGGCAGATGCTGGTACAGGTCCCCCACCCAGGACAACAGGGAGACCAGTCTTCCTCCTTCCAAAAATGGGCTTCTCTGCTGCTTGAAGGGCAGCTAGAGAAATAGCAGCAGGTGGTAATAACTGCACCCATTGCCTGAGCAGTTACGGTGTGCTCAGTGCTACCGAGAACTGGACACTGACCAGTAGAACCCTGCTGAAGGAGCCTTGGTGTCATACTTTTTTTTTAAATTTTATTTAAAGAAAGACAAAACAAAATGGAAAATGGGTAGAAATAGTACATACTTTCAAAGAAAAAAGTAAACAATAATAAATCACTTGTTGATGTTTACATACTGTTCTCTTACAAATAATTGTTCAAGATACAAAAGTGGGACATATAAATGGGGATTTAAACAGGGAGACTGCAAATAGTTCTGTTCAACTATCTAATAAAAACTTAGTAATAGTTTATCAACCCTATACACTTAAACATGTACACATTTATCCATATCTTCACTTATGTTGAGATTAAATAAACTAAAGCAGACTAAAATCGCTCTGAACTAAGATTAATAGTATTGCTGAATTTCACATCATGACACCTGGAATCAGCACTGGGTACTGTAGTGCCTTTTTTCCCTTCAAAGCATTTGTTCATTTCATCATGTGTTATAAGATCAGTTCTCATAAACTGTTTTAGGTTTCATGCAAGCATGAGTCTTAACATGTATTTCTATCCTTTCTATATTAGAGAGAGAAACAGAACAAAGCAGGACAGAACAAAACATATTCCTATAGACACATAAAACTTAAAATACATATAAAACTGCTGTACAAGGAGTTCTATCATGGTTACTGTATTGTCTCTTGTTATCGTCAATAGAATTGGCTATATCATCAGATAAAGTATAATTGAATATATCAGTACATAACAGTATTAATAGAAATACAACTTTGTAGATAGTGTAGAACTACAAAAACAGGTAGTAATCAAATCAGATTGGGTATCATAGTGAATCACTGTCATTTTCAGTATAGTTGTCTGTACTCCCTGACTTGATACTATCAACCTAACAGTTTTGAATAAAACCTGTTAATAACAAGCAGCAATCAAATCAGATTTAACTAAGATCAGTCATGATATAACAATATAAGTTATACAGTTATCCAGATTAAGTTAATAGGAAATCAAAGATGATTACTGTGCTATATCCTGATATTTTTGGGATAGCTGTCTGTGCCCTCAGATCTAGTGCTTATATACAAACTGGGACAGAGTAAGTTCTGTCTAAGCAGAGTGGTGTGAGTAATATGAGTTTTAATTCCTGATACACTATTAGCAATATCTTCTGCTGTCTTTTTAAAGACTATTCCTCCTCTTTCACTCCCCCAGGGTGTACTGAGTGTTTTTGGGTCTCCCCAAAACCCTTGGTCTTATATTGGGGGGGGCAACCTGCTATTTACCTAAGTGTTTCTGAACTCTCTCACTCCTGGACTTGATCTTTAGTTGTATTTCTTTACTTATTAAAGCCTGTCTTTCCAACCTATCCATAAATACTGGTCCAGTTGTCCCTATTACTCTCTGGTTCCCTATCACATAGAGTTCTGTTTTCTCATATTTGATTTTGGTCCATATACCCTTCTTCAGGTTAATTATATTTCCTATAAAGAGCATTTTGGTGGATCCTACCACTTGGTCCACTCTGCCTGAGATTCTCTCTTTGTTTCCTTAATTTAGTGTATCTAGGCCATCTACATTAGAAATTATATACAACCTTCTCTGCCTCATTTCTATTGTGCTCTTTTTCTGTCATTAGTTGTCTGTTTGTCTTCTTCATTTCACTTTTTGCTCCATTCATTGGGGCTTCTCTGCCGCTGTTCCTGAAATCCTGGTGCTTTTCTCTCTCTTTAGAATGTCCTGTAGTATTCTCTGTAGGGTTGGATTAGTGGTTGCAAATTCCCTCAGTTCCTCTTTATCTTGGAGCATATTGTTTCTCAATTAATTTCCAGAGACATTTTTGTAGGGTATATCAATCTGGGCTGGAGGTTATTTTCTTTCAGGACTTGGAATACTTCACTCCACTCTCTTCTTGATTTCATGGTTTGTGCCAAGAAGTTTGCTGTAATTCTGATGGGCTTTCCCTTGTAAGTAATCTTTTTCTTGTCTCTGACAGCTTTTAATATTCTGTTCTTATATTGTATTTCTACAGTGTTGATTATTGTATGCCTGGGTGTAGTTCTGTTTTGGTTGTAGGTGGCTGGAGTTCTGTATGCCTCATACATCTAAATATCTTTTCCTTTTCCTATGTTTGGGAAGTTTTCCTTAATTATTTCTGTGAATAGCTTTTGTGGTTCCTTTGTTTGTACCCCTACTTCTTCATTCATATTCTTTATTCTCAAGTTATAGATCCTTTTGTCATCTTCTAGCCTTTGTATTGTTACTGCTTGTTTCCTTGTTATTTTTAAGAAATTTTTCCTTTCATGATCCCATATTGCAAACCTGTCCTCTAGTTTGGACAATCTATCCTTAGTTTCTTTCAAGCAGTTTTTCCAGCTTTCAATGGAGTTTTTAATTTCCTGGTAACTTCTTTGAAGCTGTTTCATATATTCTATGTTTTCTCTATTTTCTTCATCAAACAATTCTCCCCTTTTTTGTGTTCTTCCTTTCTTCCATCTGTTTTTTTCTTGAGATATGCTTAGCATTTCTTTCATTATTGTATTTATATCTTGCTTTACTTGGTTAAATACTTCACTTTTGAACTCATCTATTAGGTCCCGAAGATATCGCTTTATGTCTATTGGTGCCATGCCTGATATTGCATGTTTGCTGTTCTCATTCTCCTTTACATTTACCTTTCCTGGATCAATGTTCTCAGGATTGGGGACTGAGGACCCTTTCTTGTTGCTTCCTCGTCTCATATTTTTTGTTCCTTCCATACAGGTGTATATAGGAGGCCCAGCTTCTTTCTTTGTTGGTTACAGTTTATCTGAAGCATGCTGGCTAGGTGCTCCCACCCACTGCAGTGTACTATAGAGGTACAGACCAGGGCAGCCTATGCTGGGCCCGCCCCTCCAGGTCAGTCAACCTGTTGAAGGCTTCACTGCATTAGGGTGCACTGCCAGGCATAGGGACTTGGTTTGGGTTAGCCTATTGGGTCTCAGTCTGGGGCATGTCCCAGGTTAAGTGCTCCCCACCAATCCCACTTGAGAAGGAAATATGTGACTGAAGTCCCTGCAGTGCCCTGTTCTGGCCAGTCTGCCTGGTCCCAGAATGTCCTCTGTTGGAGCCTTTTTGTCTATGGAAGGGTTTTTATTCCCATCACTCACTGCAGGTCGATGCAGGGTTCCCCACCAGCTCCACTCTCAGTTCAGTTCACCAATTCCCATCCTTAGTGCGAATGCATCTCCAGTGAGTTGAAACTGGTGGGCTTTCAGGTAGCTCGGTAAGTTTCTACTGCGTGTGTTCAAGCACAGCAGCGGCAGCGAGTTCAAGCAGCAGTACCGAGACTGTAGCTGTACCAGTAGTAGCACAGGGACTGTATTTTTAATTGGTTTCTCTCAGCTTAATTTGTTCCTGGGTCGGGAGGCTCTATTTCCCTCTGTCTGGGACTCCCCACACTGTATTATTTTTGGAATCTAAGTTGACTATCTCAGGGAGCTTCTGTAGCCTGCTGTTATCTATCTGCCATCTTTTTCGAGTCCCTTGGCATCATACTTACACTTCCCTCTCCTTACAAGACAAACCTTTATGACCAGACTTACTGAGTGCATATTTTTTACTTAGTGCTGTGCTGAGCACTGCCACATCTTTTATAGTTACTTCAGTTCAGGGACTCAGTACCCTCTGCAGTTCTGATCACAAACCAAAAAGGATGAGAACTGAATCAAATTTCCTCATAAGGTTAACACTGAACCTAACCACTGAATTTGTCCAACTCGGTTTGCAACCAGAATAGTGAAAAGAATCCGGTTTGTGAATCAAGGTATCACTGACTGATTCTGACGGTAGATCATCTGGGGTTGTCTGGACCTCACGGGGAATTGTTAGCTGACCTAGGACTTGGATTTTTCTCTAGCATTTGAAACTGTCCACCTTTCTTCCACTGCCCAAGTCCCTCTCTTTCCTCCTCTCTTTTTGTGAGCCACGTCTACCTCTGAGCCTTTCTGAAGTGCTGGTGTCTCCTGGGGCTCCTATCCTAGCATCTTTCCTCTACACAGTCCCTGAAATCAATCACCTGGGTCCTCCTTGGAGGCCCAGCATCCCTGCTGCCTCTGGCCACCTTCCCCAAGAGATACTCAACATGACAAATTTGCATGCCTGTCCCATCTTGTTCCTCTATTTTGTGTTCTGTGTTTTGCCAAATGAGACTTCCATTACCATGTCCTGATTGCCAATCTAGACATACGGAAATCATCTCCCACTTTTCTCTCTCTCACCTATAGATTTACATGCTGATGGAGACCTGTCCAACCTACTTCCTTGTTATCCCTGAAAACTTTCCTCTCTCCACCCTCACAGCTTGGTCTCGGCATGCCCTGCATGCGTGGATCACCCAGCTTTCTATCCCTTCTCCTTGTCTCAGTCTCTTTTCCTCTTTAGAGTCAAAGAAAATACATTGTATGGTTTCAGTGTATTTTAAACTCATGGAAACTTGTTTTGTGGTCAAAAACTTGATCTATCTTGGTCATGTTCCACATGCACTTAAAAAGAAAGCCTTTTCTTCTAGAGGGGAGTAGGCTATACATATCAATTGCTTTGGGGATTTGCTTTCTTTTTTATCGCACAGTTAATTGGAAATGGATCCAGCTGGTTGTATAGATCAATACTTTGTTTCTTTTGATTGCTAGGCAGCCGTCTGTGCTATGGGTGTACTAAAGTTTATTTAACTATTCCCTCATTGAAGGATATCTAGTTATTTGCAGTTTTTAGCTATTATGATGACAGCTGCTATAAATATTCATATACTGGATTTTGTCTGAGCATAAATCTTAAATTCTGTGGGATAAATGCCTGAGAGTACAGTTGCTGGGTCATATGGTAATTGCATGTTTAGCTTTTTAAAAAACTGCTCACCAGTTTTTGAGTGACTGTATCATTTTTCGTCCCCACCAGCAATATGTGAGTGGTGCAGTTCCTTTGCACCCTCTCTAGCATGTGGTGGTGTCACTATTTCTTATCTCACTCATTCTGGTAGGTGCACAACTTTTATCTCAGTGTGATTTTTATTTGCATTTTCCTAATGGAAAACAATGTTGAGGATTTTTTCATGTGCTTATTTGTCATCTGTCTCCTTCAGTAAAGTCTCTTCATTTCTTTAGTCCATTTTCTTTTTCCCTTTTTTTTTTTTAACTGTTGGGTTTTGAGAGTTCCTTCTGTATTCTAGATGCTAGTTCTTTGTTGAGCATTTGTTTTGCAAATATTTGCTTGCTGTATTTTTTCATCCTCTTAACAGTGTGCTTCATTGGGTAAAAAAAAATTTAACTTTGTTGGAATTTGGTCTATCATTTTTTTCTTTTATGAGTTATGCTTTTGCTGTCTAGTCCAAGCATTTTTTGCCAAACCCTAAACCATGAAATTTTTTTTCTGTTGTTTCTTTTCCTAAATTTTGTGGTTATGTGTTTTACATCAAAGGTTGTGATTCACTTTGAATTAATTTTTGTATATGGTAAGAAATTGAGAAACATTTCCAGTTTTCATTTCTGGAAGTCCAGTTGCTCTAGCACCATTTGTTGGAAAGGATTTCTTTCCTCAGTTAAACTGCTTTGATGTATTTGTCAAGAGGTGAGGGATCTAGCTCAGGGGCAGAGCATGTGCTTGGCATGTTCACAGCCCTGGGTTCAGTCCCTAGCACCCCTCAAAAGGATAGTGGGGTGTGTTTGTGCTGGTTCTCTATTCCGCTCTGCTGATCTGTCTGTCTGTCTATCTACCTTCCCCATCACCACACAGCATTTTTCTTTCTTGCCAGGCAGTTGCTTACACCACTGAGCTAAATCCCCAGCCCACATTTTTCTATCTTTGTAACAATTCCACTGTGGTATAATTTTATGTACTATACAACTTGATCACGTGAAGTGTATGACTGAATGGGCTTTAATATATTCACACGGTTATGCAGCCATCATCACAGTCAATTTTAAAGGATTTCCATCACCCCAAAAAGAAGCCACATGTTTTTTAGTTGTCACCACTTTATCTACAACCGCTGAGAAACAACTAATGTACTTTCTGTCTCTATAGATTATATCTGCCTTCTCAAGACATTTCATACTATTAGAATCCTAGTCTCTAGCTTTTCACTTAATGTAATGTTTCCAGGGTTCATCTTTATTGTATATGTGTCAGCACTTTATTGCTTTTACAGTCAACTAATAGCCCATTATCTGGATATACAATTTTATTTATCTGTTTATCTCTCAATGGACGTTTGGGTTGTTTCTACCTTTGGCTGTAGTGAATTATGCTGCAAGGAACATTTGTGTAAAAGCTCTGGGTAGTCATACGTTGTCATTTACCCTGAGTCTGTTCCTAGAAGTGGAATTACTGGGTCAAACAGTAATTCTGTGTTCACCTTTTAGAGGAAACATCAGCATGTTTTCAGATTGGCTGTACCATTCCGGCTTCCCCAGCAGATGCTGAGGGTTCCAGTTTCTCCATGTTCTTGTCAGTACTTGTTCTTGTCTGATTTTTAAAATTACAAGTAACACACTGGGTTTGAAGTGGTATCTCATTATGGTCTTCTTTGTTCCCCCCTTTTTTTCCTCTATGAGCTTCATCAAGGTGATCTTTTCATCCGTATTATTCTAATGTATGCTTTATCCTATCCAGTGCATTTTTACATCTAAAACTATATTTTTCATCTCTAAAAGTTCCACTTGGGTCCTTTTTATATATTTCATTTCCCTCCTTTTGCTTATTTTTTCCTTTAAGTTTTTAATAAGTACTTATTTACTTACTTTTTGATTTATTGAGACTGGATCCCTTTGCATAATTTAAGATGGATTTGAACTCACTTTGTAGCTCAGGCTGGCCTTGAAGCCATAGAAGTCCTCACACCTCTGCTTCCTGAGTTCTGGGATTCCAGGTGTGTGCTACCATGGCTGGCTCTCTAAATTCTTGAGTGCACACGCACTCACAGCCCACATCCTCACATCGTATAATACACATATTGTATAACGATGCTGTGTGTACAGTAGAGGTCTAATAAGAATACAGCAGCGCTGGAGAACTCCTGTTGCCTGGTGATGTAGCCATTATAGCTTCACTGCACCATGCAGCACATGTTTGCGGTGATGTTGGTATAAATAACTCTATCGCTCTGCCAGTCACGTAAAAACAGCATATGCCATTAGATACTTAAGGGTTATGATTAAAGACCATGTCACTGGCTTGCATATTTATTTTACTGTAATTTCTATCATTAGCATGCACTTCTAAATTCTGAAACAAAGGTTACTGTGAACCAGCCCTCTGCATTACACAAACACAGCCTCATACCCTCATACCATGTCTCTTGCTTACACCAAGAGGTAATGTGGAGGTGACCTGGGGGCTGAGGTGTAGCTCAGGAGTGGAGCACGCGCTTAGCATGCAGAAACCCCTTGTTACACCCCCGGCAACCCGCTGAAAAAACGCTGTGTCAGGCAACATTGCATCTAGGTTTGCTTAAGTGTGCCCACTGATGGCCACAGAGTCACAGAATTGCTTAACAGTGAATTTCCCATCATTCGAAGATGCATGACTGTAACTGTTAATATTTTTGCTTACTAATTTCTTCATCTCTATTACCTCCAAGTATATTCCTACTGATTGATTGTTCTCCTGCTTACAGATCATATTTTTTTCTCCTTTGCACACCAGGTAGTGTTTTGTGGTAGCTGAACATTGTGAATTTTGTATTGTTGAATGCTGGATTTTATTGTGTTCCTTTAAAGATGATTAGACTTTGTTTTATCATGTAGTTAAGTTACCTGGGATTGCATTTACTTATTTCTCTCTTTTTTTTTTTTTATCGGTACCGGGGATTGAACTCACAACTGCCTGCTTGCTAGGCAGGTGCTTATGCCACTGAGCTAAGTCCCCAGTCCCAAATCTCTTTATTTTTTTGAAGTTTGCTATTAAGCTTTCTTAAGTTTGGTCCAGCACGATCATTAGCCTGGAGCTAATTCAGTCTTTTTCTCATCCATGACCTTTCTTCTGACTCTACCCAGCTTCCAGCCCAGTGTGGCCTCTTCTCGCTGGCTGATGGAAACTCAAGCCCTTTCCAGCCTTGTTTGTAAGGTTCTGAAATTGGTCAGCTCCTGCTTTTCAGTGGTTCTTTTCCTGGCTTCAAGGAATTTCACTCCACACATGGACAGATCATTATTCAGCCAAAGGTTTGAGAGAAGCTCTCTGGAATTTGTGGTATTTTGCTCACAGATTTAAACCTCAATAATTTCTACTTTTAGCTCTTTCTCTTCAGCTCAACAGAAGCTCTGGCTCTTTTTGGGTTTCCTCTCCTTGTGCTACATCCCTGAAACTCCTTCAGGGAGTAAGCTGGGATAATCGGGGGCTGAACTCCTTTGTTTTCCTGTCCTCTGGCATTATGAGTTATTCAGTGTCTGGAAACAGCTGTCACTCAATTCATTGCCTACATTGATTCTGTCAGACCAATAGCTCTAAAATATGTCTAGAGTTATTATCTAGCTTTTTACATATCCTAGTGAAACTCCATCACCCTGAGGATAAAGTGTGACATCATTAGCCTAAATTTATAAAACCTTAGGGTTGGGCCCTTTGGTGGTAAGCAACAGAAACCAACATATCTGACTCTAAGCAAAGAAAGGGTCTATTAGAAGGACATGGAATAACATACAGATTCAAAGGAAAAGCTGGAGCATAGGTCTTAGAAAGTCAGGAATCAAAGGAGTTTAGAGTGTCTAAGAGATAAAAGCTCCATCTGGACCTGCTCCTGGGGTGTCTCATTTCTGGAATCAGATGAGAGGCTTAGAAGTAATTTGTTTATATGGCCTTATCATGGACCATATTACACCCTCTGACTTGTGTCATTCCTTGAAAGTCCTACATAGGTAGCCTACAGTGACAGAGCAATGGTTGTCACAAAGGGAAAGAGGGATCGGTATGATACAGCACAAAAGCCTGCTAGGCTTTCGCATGTGGCCCTACCCTGCCTCCCTGAGCATCCTCACCCTAATCTCCATACCACAGAGCTGCTGCTGCAGACTTGTATCATCCCTCACAGTGTCACTAACACGTGTCTCCAGGCTTCTCAGGCCTCAGTGCATTTGCACCTGTTATTTTTACAACCAGGAATCACCTCTCACCTCTGCTTTTAAAAGCAAAATGACCACAACAAACTGAGATATTCCTACTTCTGCTTCCATGACCAAGGAGGCCTTTCTTCACCCTCCTAATACAGGTTCCCATTCTCTTTCCTTCCATGGACCTGTGCTTGCTACTGTGGTGATTCATTTCCATGGCTCCTCAGTGGACTCATAGCTTCTTAGGTACAGGGATGATCATGCTCATTTAGATATTTTGCTCAGCACATTAAGAGGCACTTCAATTTCTGATTAATGTCAAACATTATATTTTCTTGTAGGGGACTCTGCTGGATATGGAGCAAACTCTCAACCAGAACTTAGAACTCAGATTTCAATTCAGTGAAGGTAGTTGCTGGCAGTGGTTTGTCATTTACACCAAACAGGTGAGTAATCAGATCAGAGTGTGAAAATATTTGTGCTGAAATGCCATCTTGCTGGCTGGGGTGGACAAAGTACACCACCTTAATCTAGCTAAAGCAGGGGACTAGTGGGCAATGTTTTCTTTTGTTTTTTGGGTTTTTGTTTGTTTTTTTTTTTTACTTTTTGCTTTTATTTCACTGGTCACCAAGAATTTTACATCAGTTAGAAATGAAATTAGTTACTGTGTTAGTTTTTTTTATCACTGTGACAAAATATCTTTGATAATCAACTAAAAAGAAAAAAGGTTGGGCCAGGGATAGTTGATTGTCTGTTAAAGAAAAAAAGAGGAAGAAGAAAGGTTCATTTTGGCTCATGATTTCAGACGATTCAGTCCCTGGTTACTTGGTCCCATCACTTGGGCATTGTATAGCAAGGCTGTGAAGCCCATAGCAGCTAGCCCATAGCCCATAGCAACAAAAAGAGAGGAAGGGACCAAAGTTCCAGTATATCCTTCAAGGGCACATGAGTGAGACCTAACTTTCTCCAATCAGGCTCTGCCTCCTAAAGTTTTTACCACTTTCCAATGACCATGTCTTCAACATGTGAGCTCTTGGGGACATTTAAGATCTAAATCATAATAGTTATCAAGTAATGGAGCTGAACCAACTGGCTTAAATGTGGGCCAGAAATCTTTTGGCTTAAAGGTCCAGGTAATGAATATTTTAGGATTTGAGGTCTATTTGATCTCTCTTGCAATGACTGAGTTCTGTTAAAAGAAGTCATACATAATGCATAAACAAATAGACCTTTTTATCTAATAAAACTTTTATTTACAAAAATAGTGTGCTGGACTTGTTGCTGACCTCTGGTTTAGACAATACAGGGATTTTTTTCAAAAAATACCGAAAGTGGAATGTTTGGCACACTTATCATTCCCTTGACCTTTTACAAGCAAATAAAAAGCTATCACATTTGGAAAGCAAATTTTTTACCTTAGAAACCTCCAAGTAAACTTTCATTTGTCTCATTGTTCAGAACTGGACCATCCAACTACCCTAGCTGCAAGGGAGTCTGGAAATCAAGTGTCTGCAAAGAGGAGCAAGCTACATGATTGGTGTGTAGGTAGTATGAATCACTGCCTGAGCCGAGCACTTCTTACCCTTCCCCCAAAAAATCAAGGTCTTTCAGGAAAGAAGAAAGCAATGGCTGTTGGGTATCTAACTACCCATATTTATCATGGGCTTATATTTAAAATAGGAATAGAAGTCCTAAAATAATTAAATTTTAAAATACCAAATCCAATTTCAAGATCTTTTACTGACTTAAGCAAATTCAAATTGGAATCAGAACCACAGGTGTTCTAAAATGGAGTCAAAATTTCACTATATTCAACTTGAGTTTTACTAAATTCTATGGAACTTTCTAGTTTTTAGTGACCAAAGCCCTCTTTTAACTCTAATTCTAAAACAGTTGAGGTCATTACATCAAAGTCTTCTGAAAAACGTGAAGTACTAAACTATAATCCTAAGTAAAAGACATAGGCTTTTAGGTTCACTTTGGGGGTTTGAGATAAGGTTTTACTATGTAGTTCAGGCTGGCTTTGAACTCACTGTGTAGCCCAGGCTGTACTCACACTCATGGCCTCACACTCATGGTGATCTTCCTGCCTCACCCTCCCGCGTGGTGGGATTACAGGTGTACCCCACCAGGCCCAGCGTAGGTTCACTTTAATTGCTCATTTATTCTCTCATCAGAGTGCTAAACACAAAATTGTATTACTTTTTAATCTAAAGAGTTGTGAATGTATTTAAACCATGGCATAGAGAGGCATAGTAAAGGGATTCCTAGTGAGATGTTATTTCCTTTGGAACGTTTTATTGCTGTATACCTAAGGGCTACTTTTGCAAAAGGTAGAAATGTGGTGTGTATGCCTTGCAAATGCAAGTGAAGATTTGGACCAAAATCTTTTCCTATGCTTTTCTTTCTTATCTTATCTTTCTTTCTTTTTTCTATGCTTTTTTAAACAAAAGCTCAATTTATATTTAGTAGACCTGAACTGGTTTACAGTAGAGTAGTTTGTTTGTTTGCATACGCAGTAAAATAAAAGGTAATCAGTTTGCACACACTATTGAGCATCCTTTCCTACTTGTATCAGCTTGGGGTTCATTAGTTCACTGTCTCATACTCTGGTTTGGTGTAGGTTACATATATGTACATATATATCCATATGTGTGTGTGTGTGTGTGTATAATGTGTGTACTCTTTTCCTATCTTCTCTCCTTTCTTTTTAAGTAAATTTCATTCCTGTCATGCTCCACACCCCTGAAAGATGGCAAGATGTTACTTTAATGCCAGCCATCCTCCCTTTATTTCTACAATGTGCCACCTTCTGAAAGCTTTCCACTCTGGCCACTGCCCCGGCCTGGGTTCGTCACTCTCTTCTGCTCCTCCTCTCCATCACCTCCTCAGTGGTGACCATCCAGGATCACAATCCTATACTAGGTCCTAGAGCCTCAGGCCTTGAGCTTTAGTTGGCCCAAACCTTAGTAGAATCAAAAGAGAAATCAGCAAGGCAAGAAGCAAAATCAAGACCAGAAGGATAAAGGATTAGTGGGGAAGAACAAGAGGGAAAATCAGAGGGCACCTTGAATTTGGCACAAGGGAGTACAGACTCTGGAACAAGGAAGCCCCCGTCCTTGTTCAGCAAGTTATGCCAATGTGAGTGTCTTGGCACTAGCAATGATAATTAAACCACCCATTATGCTAGAGGCAACTATCCATTTTGCTAGTTAGTGATTAAATGTATTGGAAAAATAAGAAAGGAAAAAACAACTAATTTCTAAAGTTTCAGTAACAGCAATAAGATGTTAATATATTATTTCAGATGGGTTGCTATTTATAATATTTAATAATAACTTTCAGAAAGTATATATGTATAATTATAGGATTAATCATCAGTTTATTTGATTATAATAAGTACTTCATATTATTTATTGTTCATACAACATGACCTGCTTATAAACTAATAAACGTGGATTCAAGTGGGGAGTTTTAAAGAGAAGAAGATTTGTAAGGAGCTTCTGGTCATTTTTTGCCTGCCTTTAAATTTTACTGTGAATATATCTATGTAATTGAGAAAATTTATGTTTACATGCTAATTGAATTTTATACAAATTTCTGGAAGTTAAAGAAATCTAAATTCTTATCAATGTGCTGTTGTATTTTCAGCAGAGTTCAAAGTCTACTCTGCGGTGTGAGGAGGGAAGGAAGAGGAAGAAAACCTCTATTGAGTACAGATCATTCTTTATTTCTGGATTTCTTAGGCATTTTTGCTGAGTAGCTGCTTGAAAAAGATGATCACAGAGAAGATGGCCAAGCTCGCTGCCGAGGGTCCCAAAATGGTAAGTGCTCTTATCTGTGCGCAACTGCAACCTTTAAATTCCCAAAGTGAGCTACACCTGGAGACCAAATTGCCCTGCAGAGTTCTGGGCCAGCAGCTCTGGTCTTCAGGGGAGACTCCGCCACACAAAATGAGCTTCGCAGGCCTCTGGTGCTTGGTGATGGGGATGGTGACCCAGAGAAAGCCTGTCTTTAGAATTCAAAGCATTTTTCCAGGGAAAAGTCATTTGTGGATTACTGAGAACTCTAGAACACTTTTGTTCAGCCTCACCCTAAATGGAAGCTTTTAGATTTAGCATAAAACCCTCATGAAAAAGTCAGGATCTTTAAGGCAGTGAAAACGATCTTAAGTAAACTCTGGTTTTCTCTAGAAAGAATCTGCAGCCTCCTGATAACTTCCTGTGTACCCAGTGGAAATGCCTTTAGCAGACGGAAAAAGGCAGAGTAGAAGAAACTCTGGTCTTTTTTTTTCTTTTTTCGGTGTAAAGTTAACTTATTTTTCTACACTGTTTTATTGATTGGAGGCCCAGTTACTAGCAACTCACTGAAAGAGTTGGTAGGCAGGCTGCAAAGCCAAAAATTACTGAGATTTCAAACTTTCCTAATTACCTGGAGCTCATCAGGATATAAGCATGTCCCAGATAAGATACAACAGTTTAACTTAAAAAAAAAAACTAGAAATACTAATGCCAGGTTGACATTTTTAAGCCTCATTATTTAATATTACAATAATCTTTAAAAAATACAACAGAAAATAATTGGAAACTTCCCTAATGTTATTTAAATTTAACAACATTAAATGTTGCTATATAAATCTTCTATAGGAGGATAATGTCTTTAGTTTAACCTTAATCTTCACTTGACTTTACAGCTTTTTTTCTAAGAAAATAATTGTGTGTTCTATTTAATCTCTTTCTTCTAGAACTGAACAGTCTTCCCAGGGAAAATCAATTCATTGCCTCCTTGTGATTGAACAATTCAAAATGTTCTGGAGAGTAGTAAATGAAGCACGCTCTTTTTAAAAGGAGTCATAAAATCCAACCTCTTGGGCAGAGTGAACCCTCTCAGGCTTTGATTATTAGATATATAAAAGAAGAAAGAGAAAAGTAATTAACTGAAGTAGCCTCATTAAAGGGAAGAAGTGCCCTCAAATGCAGATGGGTAAAACATAAGCCACTTGACGCAGGAAATACTTGGACAATGAATAGCTAGAGTTAGCTCAATAAAACGGAGAAGGTAATAATCTATTTAAACTTCTTAAGGAAAAGAATCATCTACATCCCCTAGATTTGCGCATGAATTGAAGTCTACCACTTACTGCTGTGACAGTAGAGAATCAGCATATTGGTCAACACTTTTATATTATTGCTTTATGCAAATATTCATCAAGCTTTATTTCCACAAACTATTACTTTGCTCAGTTAGGTTCTTGGAAAGAGAAGTTAGGACTCCTGCTCTTGAAAATGGGGTTTTCAAAGCATGTGAAGTAGTCCTCTATTTGCATTTCAATCTGGAACTTTGTCTCCAAAAACCCAGAGAAGATGGAAACCCAGAAGGCAAAAGACAGACGAACCCTTTGACCTCACTCTGAGTGCTGGGCCTCCCCACAAGGGACAGGGCACTAAAGCCATTTCAAGGCCTCAGGTGGCTGTGCAAGTGTAAGACTGTGACAGTCAGCTTCTTTGAGGCAAACACATAGTCTCAACCAAGAAGTCACTTTTACAGAGTCTGTTTGGACCAGGACTCAGACATCTCTGAGAAACAGATTCTGTGCCCAACATTTTGATAATCTTAAATATTCTGAATCAGGGAGAAAGACTGAGCAAAACTGTAACCAGAGGAGCCCCATAAAGAAAGTAGATAGATGGTCCCTAGAAGCAGATTAAATAGTATTGGATTTTCCTGTTAATATGAAATCAAGGGAAGAAAAAATTTAATATATTAATAGAAATTTAATGTTAAGTAACTTAATAATATTAAGTTAATTGGCCTAGTTGGCTTTAGACAGCCCTTTCGGAGAGAAGATTTGAATTGTTTATGAAGTCACTAAAATTTGAATAAAACTAACACAGTAAAGAATGACACAAGCACACAATCAAAACACAAAATTTCTTGTTAAATACTTAAAGACAGTATTAACCACAGACAAGAAGAGAAGAGAGATGTGACATTTTTCTTAAAGCTAAGTTCCTATAAAAAAGCTAAGATATTAGCCAGGCATGGTGGCTCACACCTGTAATCCCAGCCCTCAAGAGGCTGAGGCAGGAGGATTGTTACGAGTTCGAGACCAGCCTGGGCTATAAAGTGAGCTCAAGGCCAGCCTGAACTGCATAGCAGGACCCTGTCTCAAAAAGACAAAAAAAAAAGCTAAAATATTATGTTAATATTTACTGCTTATAACTAGAGCAAAATTATTAAAGAATGTTCGGCTTGAAAATGAAATTCATTAGTCAGGTTTCAGTTTGGTTACATGTAACAGAAGGTAAGACAAAGCGTGTGTCTTAGGCACAGACATATGACAGCAGTTACAGAATGGCCCAAGGACACCAGGGGACAGTTTCAGAGCCAGGGAGAAGTGATTTTCCCCAAGTGCTGGGGATTTAGCTCAGCTGCATAAGTGCCTGCCTTGCAAGCACACAGTCATGAGTTTGATTCCTGGTATTAAAAAAAAAAAAAAAAAAAAAATTCCCAAATTCAGTATTTCATTGCACCTGGCCATAAACTAAAATGCAATATTGTAAAACAATAGCAAAGCATGGCATCAGAGCATTAATGTCTCACCAAGACTTAGCTGGCTTTTCACATTATTGAAATAATAGGGCTTCAAATATATGACCCACCATTTCTATTTAAGATACTAATCTGTGGGGATCCCTGAGTACTGTACATCTTCTCCTTAGAGCACTTTATTTTGCAGTAAAATTAAGTGAGCCATAGTCGAAGGATAATGCGCATTTGCAGTGTCGGGTCACTTGTTCCATGTATTACAAAGTAGCCCACCGTCCAGTTTCATGAGTAATAAGCACTATGAGGCCTAATCGGTTTGCCCCACCTACATGCTGTCATTTATGAAGCCTGTGTTTGCCAAGTGGCGGCTACAAACCCAGGACCCTGCATTAGTCAAAGAGGAGAAAGGCAACGGGGACAGAGCCCGTTATGATGTGTCCCCTGCCTTGTCGGAGATACGTGCAGAATGCAGAGCTGTTCCACAGTCTCTTCCAGAGGAAGTGTCTGGGCTCTGTCCCTCGGCCCTTGGTGGGTCGCGTTTACTAAGTGTTCTACACACCCCTCTCTACCCTGCTCCGGGCCCCATTGACTGACCCCTGTGTGCTGTGACCTTACTGTCCCTGAGGTCACCCCCAGCCCCCCTATTGCACCCCCACTGGGAGATCCCATCAGGAGACTGAGGGCTGGGGAGAACAAGGTTGGGTACTGTTTCTCCAGCTGTGCCCCTCTTGGGACTCTGGTTTTACCTCCTGCACCGAAGGCTCTGGCTCCTGTCACACACCCCTCAGCTACAGCCTCAGTGGTCCCACACCAGCTGTCCTCCTCACCCCTGCAGGCCTGGAGGTGGCAGACCCCACCCCCACCTCGCTCCTTGCACCCCTGGGGGCTCAGTGCTCCCCATGGATTTGCTTTAATCCTGCTCTCTCCCTCCAGTAAATGCCAGTTCAACGGTGCTTTTGAAAAACTCCCCTCTTCCCCAGGAGCCAGCATCCATTCCCCCCTGGGCCCCTGTGGCCCTGCTCTTCTCACTTTGGGTACCAGAGGTGTAGTCCAGTGTCTTTGAGCCACAGTTTGATCCTTCATTTGATTAACGATGCCTTTTGATGTGGCGAAGCCCCATTTGGCTTTGATTCAGGTATGGACTGGAGGTTTAGAGGTTCTGTGCGTTTTGTGTTGTGTGAAGTCCTTTGAAAAGCTGTGTTCAATCACAGAATCCATAGGCAGCCCCCAGGACTAAGCACAAAGCTTCGCCTCACTTTGGGGGACTGGATTCTGTAACACGGAGACCCCAGCACACAAAAGGCACAGCGGACGGGCAGGTGAGCCCTGGCCCAGGCAGCCTTGGGCTCGGAGAGGTTACTGCCCAGGCAGAAGCATGCTGGTTAAATGCGGGCTTGGGTGCCAGCTCCTCGGGTGGTGCTGACTGACATTTTACTAATCTATTTAGCAGATTGAAGTTCCGGAAAAAAACAGAAGTGAAAAAGACCACATTCGACAAAGCAAGGTCTGTGTGTAAAGTTATGTAACTGATGTGTTACAATTCTGATAAATCTGCCCCCTTTGCCCCGTTAACCAGTCTTTTGATTTCCAAGAATAAAGTGGGATTCTGCAGTTCCGCCAATTGGAGACTGGCACAGAAGTAGGAGATTTGTTGTACTGTCCGGCACGGCTAAGGGCCTGGCTTTCTCTCTTTCCCTCTCCCTCTCCCTCTCCCTCTCCCCCCCCCCCCTCTCTCTCTCCCCTCTCCTTCAGATTCAACCCAGGGCCTTTACAGTGAGCTACATCCCCATCGCTTTTGCTTTTATTTATTTTTTATCTTGAGACAGGGTCTTGCTAAATTGCCCAGGTTGGCTTGAACTTGTGATCCTCCTGCCTCAGCCTCTCAGTGTGCTAGGAAGACAGGTGTGTATCACCATGCCAGGGCTTTTTTTTTTTTTTTTTTTTTTTTTGTCTTTTTTTGAGACTGCTATGCAGTCCAGGCTGGTCTTGAACTCACAACGATCCTCCTGCCTCAGCCTCTCGAGTGCTGGGATTACAGACGTGAGCCACCATGCCCGGCTGCCAGGACATTTTTATGTCAAAAGTTTCCAAGAAGAGCACAGATTTTTTGGTGATTTTTTTTTTTTTTTGCATTCGTGTATTTTTTAAGCTCCTAGTTTAAACATTTGAAGATATCTAATATGTTTTAGTTTCATGGGTTTTCAGCAGTGCAGTGTACTCTACAAAGTAACACTTAAGTTTATAAAATATTCTTTTGAGCATTGAGTTCTGCTGTGCAAACAATAAATGTGGAGGAAGCCAGGTACATGATTGAGCATTCGTTGTCAGCAGTGTTCTCCACACTTGTGTGTGAATTAGTACACTTGCCCTCTCCACGGTCCTCTAAATCCGCTGAGGGAAGTAGGGCACAGAGAGGTCAAGGGACTCGCCCAAGGTTGAACAGTAATCAGTGCAGAGAAGAAGTGGGCAATGAGCCTGGAACCGTGCTCTTTGCTACCTAACGCTTCCCTTCCACACCCAAATTCTGCTGTAGCTAGATGCAGCAAAGGTGACCTCTGAGTAGCATTGGAAAGGGATTTATCTTTGACCTCACACCTCACATGGGGCCCGGGGTGTGGACCGTGTGCCCTCCTATGGAAATCGGTGTTTATAACTATGGAAGGTACACTGGACCCTTTGCCTGTGTGAGTGAGCTCTGGAAACAAGACCACATCGACGCAAAGCTTTGTTCTGTAACGGTGACGTTTCTGGTTGGATCAGCGCTGAGGCAGAAGCTGCACGGCTGCTGGCTGGTGCCTCCAGGCAGACTGAAAGCCTCACTGTGCGTCAAGTCTTTGGAGTCATTTTAATTAGTGCGTGTTTGCGTGCACAGGGATGACACCCATCCAGAGGGGCTGGTGCCCGTGCACCACACATTTTAGTTCCTTTTATTCCCATGATCTACCCCTCCCATCCCTTCCCTGTCCCTCCATTTCTTGGTCCTCATCCTTTTCACAAAAGATCCATCTCCCTGCTTCCTGTTATCTGTTATTTTGCTCTTTATTTATATTTTTGTTTTCTCATATAAGAGAAACAATGTGATGTAAGCATTATGTGTCTGATGTTTTTCATTCAATCTTACGGTCTCAAAATGCATCCATTTTCCTGCAAACGACTCAAGGTTATCCTTCTGTTTGGCAGAGTAGAACTTCTTTGCATGTATACACATTTTCTTTACCCATTCATCTGTTGATGGACAGATGATGTGATCTTGGACTAGGCAGGTCAGTGTCACTTGAAAACTTAGTGGACCTTCATGTCTAGGGCCCCAGATCTACTGGAGGTGCCCAGCAATCTGTGCTCACCAAGGCCTCCAAATGAGCGGGCTGCGTGGTCAAGGTGGGAGCCACTGTCTTCCCAAATAGACATGACACAAAGCACAAATGTGACCAGCACTGCCACTGATTCCAGTGGCTTCTGGGGCTGCAGCCTTGCCAAGTCTGAGCAGGCCGGTCCGTGAGAAGGGGTCTGTGTCACGTGTGCTGGGTTCCAGTGTGTCTAGGAGAGCTCTACTAGATGCAGCCCGAGCCAGCATGGTCAGGATCCCCGTCTGCAGCCACACGACCTGGCTTGGAGGGTAAGGAGAGCCTTAGGTGCTCAAGTCTCTTATGTCACGTGGGGCAGTGTGTTTGCATACAACCTGTGCAACATCCTCCATATACTTTAATTTAAACCATCTCTCTGTGTGCTGTGTTAGTAGTCGCCACCCTGAATTCTTTAGGAAAAAACAGCAAGAAAAAGTCTGCCTGTTAGGACAGATGCAATGTTAAAATGCATCTTCCACCAATGGTTGGTCTCATGTGTGGATGTAAAACCCTCAGATGCAGCCAGGCAACTGTGTGCTTCAGTGAATCCCCATCCTCAGGACGACCCAGCGGTGGCAGTTTCTATCCTTGGTTTATGGCCTTAGGACTGAAACAGAAGAATTAAGCAACATGCTCCAGGGCACACAGAGAAGCCAGTATCTGAATCCCAGCAGTCTTCAGGGTTGACAAATAAATACAAATTTGTTTGAGAACCCTCTACCGCAGGGATTTTTTATCAAGACAGATCTTTCACAAGAAAAATACTTAGTCTGTCTGCTGGGGAGGTGCCCCACAGTTTTGCTGTTGTTATTTTGTTTTCAGAAGGGCACCGATCCCCCAAATAAATCTTGCACATGATAAAGCCAGCTTTTAAAAACAGCTGCGGCTGAAACAGGTGCTTGCTTCCCATTGTCCTGTTAATATTAGAGTAACCTCCTTGAAGTTTTCATGATTGCTACTGTGGAAATCATTTCCTCTCGTTTACATTTCTGACCTTTCTGTTTCTTTCCAGCAGAAAGAGTATTCTAGTTTTCTATCAAGAAAAAGCAAGGTAAACAGAGGCAAAGATGACTATGTTTTCGGGACCATAACGGAAGAAGACCTTTGAAGAGAAGTCTCACCTTTTAAAGTCCACTAAGCCACGGCAAGATGTGACAGAGCCTGGGGGTGGGAGCTGGGCCTCCAACCATCAGGAACGTTCTTCACTTCCTTCTCCCCCTTGTGATGTAGACTACAGTCATCAAGGCTACCACAGCCTTCTATGTAAATTTTCTGATTAAAAAAGGTATGAGAACTAAAGTTATAGAATTTGTTTTTAATGGCTCATAAGTCACAAGTAGCAGATTCAAATCAACTTATAAGACATTCCATCTCTTTTTTCCTTCCCAGAATAGATGCTTACTGGGCTTCCTGAAGTCTTTGTGTATGTTCTGGTATTAGATAAAGGAGTCTTGTTCCAAAATGCCATCAAAGCATTGGGGATAAGTTCTAAAGATGTGATTTGTCGGTGGCGGAAAACTGTTCTGTCTAGGGAGCGGAATTGCTGGAGAAAAACCAGACTTCTCTGACCTATGACAGAGCTGTCACAGGAGAGGGTGCAGTGATGTCTTGTTTCCTTACATGGTTCTGGAGGTGCTGATGCAGGTGAGCTCAGGTCAGATGCCGCCCGGTCCTGTGCTCCTTCACTGGTCTGACTGTGCTCTGCCCTTAGAATAACAAATTTGGTTCAGTGATCACCTCACCCTGTTGAATGTTTTTATTTGGGAAAGCAGTAAGACCCTGCACTTAATCTCAAGTACCTTTTAAGTCTCTTGACTTTAAAAATATGTGTATTGGGCTGCAGGTTTAGCTCAGTGCCGTAAGTGTTTACACGGCAAATGTGAGGTGGTGAGTTTGTTCCCCGGTATAAAAAAAAAAGTGTGTATTTTATCACTATGTTTTCCCTTATCCAAAGTTCTATTATTTTATGGCAATTAATGCAATTATTACAGAATTGAGTATAGACTAATTACCACAATAAAAAAGAGGGGCAGAGAAATCTAATGTAATTAGAAAAAAGAGCATTAGCTGGGCATGGTGGCTCATGCCTGTAACCGAGCACTTGAAAAGCTGAGGCAGGAGTATTGTTGCAAGTTCAAGACCAGCCTGGGCTACAAAGTGAGCTCAAGGCCAGCCTGAGCTACACAGTGAGTTCTCAAAAAGATTTAAAAAAAAAAGAGAGAGAGAGAGAAAAGAAGAAAAAAGAGCAATATTTTAATGTTCTTTCCCGAGTTGTATAATGTTATAGTAAATATGCAATATATTCCATTGGATATAGTAGTTTTTGATGAAAAGTCTATGGATGATCTTTAGAAATGTAGAATCCACGAGTACCTTATAGTATCTGTAAATCAATGCCTAATGCTTAACTTTTAGTACCTTAAAGTTTGACATTTGGATTTTAGGTTGTGGTAAGATGTTTTTGCAGGAGGATTCACAGACATCCCAAATCATCCTTAGTTAGTGCATTAATGTATATAATATATATATATTTTTTTCCTTGAGATAGGGTCTCACTATGTTGTCCAAAAAGGCATCAGACTTGTAGCAATCGTTCTGCCTCAGCCTCCTGAGTGCTGGGATTACAAGCATGCACTACCACAGGTCTCTCTCTCTTTTTTTCCCTTTGGTACTGGGCATCAAACCCATGACCTCTCGCTTTGCTGAACAGGCACTTATGCCACTGAGCCAGATCCCTGGCGTGGTCTCTCTTTTTTATAGGAAACACATCCACAGTATAAGGGGCTGTCATGGAAATTAGGGACGCAAAGAGAATTTGTATGGGGTAAGAAGATGTATGGAAGAGCTGAACCATACGTGGCTGCAGTCATTGTAGGTAAAAAAGAAAACCTACTTCCTGTCGCCCATTTCCTGTTTCACCTAGTTAATACGAGGGTGAACAGCCCCAGATGATATGTAGCTAGTGTCAAAAGTGCAGTGCAGATCTGTGTCAAAGGACGGTGGGGCCTATCAGGAAAGCTTCAAGGGGAAGAGAGACTTGGAAGAAAGAGCGAGATGGGCAGTCCAAGAGGGGATGCACGAGAAGGAGGGAACGGTATCCCGGACGGAAAGTAAGAATGGTGCTCAGGGAGCCGCGGGCAGACCTGCTCTGTGCCAGCAGAGATTGGGGTTCAGGGAGGGCTAGGCGATAAAGCTGAGATTAAATGCATGGGGTCTACCGGCGTTTACCAAGGGAGGGTCTCAATAATGTGAGTGTGGCAGTTTAGCCCTTATTCGAGAACGACAAAACCAAAAGCATTGTGTTCAATTATTTTTTTCCTCAAAGAACTGAGATTATTATCAATATCAGGACAGGAGAAGAAAAATACAAGTGGTGACACGCATTCTACAGTCTCTACTCCGAGGAGTAAAAACCAGCAGAGCAGGGAGAAAGATTCCAAACTTAGTTTGTAAAATGATGCATATCTTGGTAAATATGTGATGACAGGAGGGGCTGCCGTAGGAACCAGTTTGGGGCTTCCTGGGCCTGTTTTTATCTAGAAGAAGTTGGGGAGTGTGAATCACTTTGGGATCAAAACACTTGATCATCACTGGGTGAAAAGTCTGAACTCCAGCTGCCAAGGTGACCTTCTTTGCCACGGACCCAGAAGAGATGGCGAAAGAGACCCTTATCAGTCCCAAAGGTAGGAACCCCATCATCCCTCACTCCACAGAGGTCCCCTCCCACTGATAGCAAAGGAATCCTTAGTCTTCAGGCCCCAATTGGTGGCCTCTGGTAACTGCAGGGCTGTGGCCTGCCTACGAAAGTGAAGAGCCCAGGGCTTTTGCCTAGAGATCTCATATGCAGAGGGTTCTCGTGTATAGTGTGTCTGAGGGTTTTGAATCCATGAATTCAGCCAGCCGTGGATCCAAAGTGTAGTTAGGCCTACAATGACTGTCTGTTCTGAGCACACAGACTTTGCCCTCAACATCTGTGCTAAGCCATTCTGTATGACAACCATTTGCCTGGTGTTTACGCTGTATTAGGTAATATTAGCAACCTAGAGATGGTTTGAAGGCTGTGGGGCGGTTACCTGCAAATAGGATGTCATTTCATATATGGCACTTGGGCATCCACAGAGTTTGGAAACCACGCAGGCTCCTGGATCCAGTGGCCTACAGACACCGACAGTCACCTGCACCTGCAGAAACGGTCTCTGGGCAGCTGTGCCTTCTTCTGATGCACCACACTCACCAGCGTTGCTTCCAGAAGCTAGACAAGCATATGCTTGCCCTGCTGTTTATATTCTGAAATAATGAGCAGAAATTCTTTGCCCGCAGACAAGCACATCTGAGTTTGAAGACTGCACAGAAATAGGAATGAAGACCAAAAAAGGAGAAAGCTGATTAAATTGCGGCCAGCCCTGCTGTCCAAGGCCGTGCCTCTCAGGGAGGGAAGCAGGCTTAGCCTTTGTTTGCAGAGCTTCCAGAGCTCAGGTCCTTCCCGGGCTGTGCATCCACCCGGGTCAGTGTGTGGTGACCTTTTGGCTGGCGCACATCCCCTTGTGGTCAAGGTAAGCACATTTCACGTTAAACATTTTGGTTAGAAATGACCTTAAGGTCACCCCAAAGCAAATTTGAGAAGAGCTCAGCAATCTTGCTTTGTGGAAATGCAAACAGGAGCCAAGCTTCGGTGAGAAAACAGTGGCCGAAATGATCCTAGAGTACAAAGCAAGAGAAAACCCACAAAGATGGCTCAGTGAGTGTGGAGAGGTGACCTTGGGGGCCCCGGGTTGTGGGAGATGGTGTGGAGAGTCCCTACTCCGTCCTGGGGTGCTCTTGTCCTTGTAATCAGCAAGCCAAGAAAAATGACAAAAAACAGAAGGTAAATTGTGCTGTCATGAAAACTAAGAAGTGTGGCGCTGGGAAAGTATGACTAACCAATTACTCCTTAAAAGATAACTTGGAAGGCCGTCATTGTCCCCTTCACCCACTTGATGGAGGTATAATTATGCTTCGCTGTTAAGCTGCTTTTAATAGCTAATAGTTTTATTCTTAAGAAGTAAGTTCTTGTCTAACACTGCTCTGATAAGCCACGGAAAAGGGCACGACGTCGCTGCTAGGCATGAGCCCCGGCTTGGGGCTCGCTCCCGAGGGTCAGGTCTCTCATTCCCGAGAGGGGCTTCACTCGGCTATGCCTTGGTGGGGCTGGGTCACCCGCTAGATTTAATGATGAGGACCTCAGTGATCTCGAATGTCCTCTGCCACAGCTGAATGTGGTTTCTTCCCAGAAATGTGGGAAGGCAGAGCTGGCTGGATTTCCTAATGAGTTTTCCGTCTGTCAACGCGGGTGTAGAGTTGACGCTTGTGGGGTGGCAGCAGTTGTGTGGGTGGAGGCCGGTGGAACGGCAAGCTGGAGTGGACTGAGCAGCTTTGCAGTGAGAATGCAGGCGTGACTCTGTGTGTGTGTGTGTGTGTGTGTGTGTGTGTGTGCACGCGCGCGTGCGCACATGCACATGGTCCTGGGGATCGAACCCAGGACCTTCATGCTGAACTACATCCCTAGCCCTTTTAAATTTTTTTTATTTTGAGACAGGGTCTCAGTAAATCACTAAGTTGCCCGGGCTGGGCTCAAATTTGCAGTCTTCCTGCCTCAGCATCCCAGAGTGCTGGGAGGGTGCAGTTATTCTTGCTGGGAATGGGCCCCAGCAGAATTTCTGGGGAGCTCCCGTTCATAAGGAGAGGCAGAGGAAGAGGTAGTGGAAATCAACTGTATCTCAGTTCCAATCAAAGAAAGCTCAGAACTTGACTTTCCACAGATGATAAATGTAGACTCAAGGAAGTAAAGTGATAGTTATTAAATTTGTTACATAGAGAGTGAAAGCCGCCTGGAGACAAGCTCTTTTAAACATCAGTGATGGTGTTGATCTAAGATGCTGCCTCACCATCGCTGGTGCAACACCATGCAGAGGCAGGTCTACCAAGAAAGGCACCTTTATGTGCCAAGGGAGAGCGATTCCACTCCCCATGGCTGGTACATCAAGGCATAAATGGAAGAGAGCATGATTATAGACCAAGCCTGTTTTTGTGCATCAACTGAATACGAATCACAGCGGTTAAACCGCAGATTCTTACAGGTAACAGCATTTATATCACTATGGCCTACTAGTGTTAGTTACTCTTGTGGTTAACTGGGCTAACAGGCACAGATTGATTCTCCTTTTTTCTGTTTTTGTTTGTGAGAGTCTAAAGAGAGAGGCTCTGCAGCCTGGGGTTCCCAATGCAGGTAAACCGAGGAGCGCTTAAACTGTGAATTCACACTAGGAAAATCCTAAACCACAGTGCTCTGATGCAAACACTCTTACTTGAGATTTCCAAAAACTCTAGTGGGTGATTAGCAAAACAAGAGAAGGAAAGGCAACTGTCTCTGTCCGCGCAGCTGTAACAACGTCTGAGTCATTGATAACCAAGAGATGTTTATTTCCCGCAGTTCTAGAGGCCGGAATGGTCAAGACCAAAGCCGCCCTTCTTTGGTGCCAGGAGAGGATTCTCCGTCTGTTTCTGATGTGGCTCCTGGCTGCTGGTCTCCCTGGGACGATGACCGCTGCATCTTCCTGTGGCAGGAGAAACTGAGGGAACGGTCTCGCCTGTGCAGGTCCTTTACACGGTGATAATTCCCCCCAGGAGGGCCTTGCCCCTGTAGTGTGATCTCTCCCTAGAGCCCACGCCTCTTCACACCACCATATTAGCAACTAAGCTTCAACCAGGAAGTGGGGAGAGGGACATATTCAAGACCATGACTACAATGAACTCCATTCACTAATGGACCTTGTGAACTGGAAGACAGGCATGTGAAACATATTCTTCAGGTTTCTAAAACATAAAAACCACTTCTAGTCACTACGAGTCTTCTTATTCTAGTTGTTTCAAAACAGATGCATAGGCTCTGAGCAATTTTCATTATTCATCCACCTATTTTCTTCCCCCCTGGAATGTCAGCAGTTCCTTTCCTGCTGGTCAGGAGCCATATTGTTTGAAAGATGGATTGCTGAGTTCGAGTTTGCAGAAGTGGTCCTCAGTAGGGCCTGGTCCTCTGAGGTCCACTTGCCTCAGGCTCTGCCCTGGCAGGGGCAGCACAGTCATCTACAGGCAGAGAGGGAAGCACAGGACTCCTAGAAAAGGCAGCACTGAGGCCAAGTCTAATGTGAGAGAGCACACAGACTTTGCCCCTTCTGAAAGATCACCAGGAGCTCATTTTGAAGTGAAAGTGAGCATTAAGATCCCTTTAATACTGAATTTGCAGTGGAGTTGGAGTCCCTAACATGACCTAAACTTCACAGCAGGGCGGACCTGAGCTCTTTAGCAGCAGAGACGAATAGAATCTTCTTAGCTCCCCGTTATCTGAGCTAAGCAGACACCACCAAGCTTTTAGGGACCAGCATGAGCCCCCAGACTTAACAAGTTCCAAACTAGCACAGTCTCAAAGGAGGGGAATCATTGAGAGGTTTGAGAGAAAATGTGAAGCCAGAAAAAGGTGCAGAAAAGGCAAGAGCAGCTGGGACCAGAAGCTTCTCCCACGTCAGCTCCACAGCCAGCCCGGCCTCTGATCACCTCCGAGAAAAATTTACAAGCTGATTGATTTTCAGAGTTTCTGGGCATGTATTAGAAATAAAATAAATAACCAAAGATGTAACATCACTATTTCTTATATGTTTAGAGAGGTTTTTATTTAATTGAAGTGTTTGGTGATATGCTTTTTGGGAGATTATTTTTTAGCAGCGTTGGAATTCAGGTTCTCACATATCTTGCATCCCAAACAAAATTCTACTTTCAGATCCTCAGAGCTCATACCCGATTGCTTAGTTACTTCGAGATCTGGTGAGCACCAGTCTCACCAAAGAGCCCCTGAGAATATGGAGCCAAGTTACAGGCAAGGGACAGGGACTATTCCCAGCTCTTATCCTAGAAAGAGAGGTGTGAAGTTTTTAATGCAATTTCCTCTTAAAGTAGGCAAGTGTGTAAAGTTTCACTAAAGTTGGAGGCATAACAGTGGGATGGGAGACAATCCCCTGGCCCTCGTTATCCTCCTGACCCGAATTCCAAGCTTGCTTCTGCCTCTGGCTATCAAGGTGAGCCTAGGCAAGTTGCCCATCTTGGATGGCCCTCTGTTTCCTCACCTGCCAAACTGGGTAAGAGCCTGTAGCTGTTGGCTGGATTATTTGTTCTGCTTTGATTTGTAAATTGGCTACATTGGTGTTATTTTTAAATCTAGTTTTCCCCCCCAAAACCCCATGCCCTCAGAGGTGGGGCTTTAGAAAGGTGATTGGATTATCTGGGCTAACAGTCTTGCTATTTAAGACCTCAGAGTGATCAAAAGAGCCAGGCCCCTTGGGGGGAGTCGCGGAAGGTTCATCTCCCTCCTCACCCCTCCCTGTCCTCTCTGCTTCTGGTCCACCACGTCCCTCTCTCATGCTGCCCCACCCAAATGCCGATGGATTAAGCCTCTATAAACTATTATGAGCCTTTCCTCCTTTTAGTTGTGTCAGGTATTTTGTCCTAGGGAAAAGAAAAGGAACTAAGATAGTTAAGAACTACATTTCCCAGAATCCTCTTTCCTAAATGGCTCCAGTTTAATACTGGCTGAAAGATGGCGTGAAGGAAGGGCCATTACTTTCTAAAGGCCTTTTCACAGTCAGACAGAGTGATATGCAGAAGCAAAGACACCAGGCAGTTTCCACTTTGTCCTTGACTCCAGCTGCCCCATGGCCAGCTCTTCATGACTACCACCTCTGGTGACCAGCAGAGCCCCAAGCTGACTGCCAGGCATGTGGTAGAGAACCTTAGAAACAGAAGTAGCTATGGAGGAACCCACTCCTATTTTAATGAGACCAGGCCACATTTGACTTCCTGCACTCCTCAGACTAGCATGTGACTTTTTATTGATTCTCCAACAGCCCCACCCAAACCTTCTCTTCCTGGATTCCTAGCACAATCATGTGAGTTGCGAATCAGTTATCCTATAACATGCCCCCTGCCCAAGCCCAGCATTTCACAGTCATCTTTAAAGGATTTCTCCACCACTTGCTTAAACCTTGCAAAAAAATATCCCCTTACCAAAGATCAGGTACTTAACTTTTGGAAGAGAAGGTTAATTGGAGTGGCACTCTATCTGCCCCTGTCCAATGCATTGTTTTCTTCTGCAGCTGTGATTCAGGCATGCACTGGTTCATGCAAAGAAAACCAGCAGTGGCTGCTGCAGCACAGAGCTCGGCTCCTTTCCTCTTTCCTGGGTTCCAGTTGTTTTCTTAGTAGCTCCAAAAATTCTGTAGCTAAAATGTTTATTTTGTAATTAACAAAGGGAGGGAACCCATTATGAATGTTTTTCTTGAACACTTCCTAGTTATACTGGTTGCAGAAGGGAAATATATTCTCCCAAGCTTCAAATAAATGTTTCCTCAAATAGGTTTCTTGTTTGTTTGGTTTTTGTCTTTTTGAGACTCACTGAGTCTCACTACACAGTTCAGGCTGGGCTTGCGCTGACTTTATAGCCCAGGCTGGTCCTGAACTCATAAGGATCCTCCTGCCTCAGTCTTTCAAATGCTAGGATTATAGGTGTGAGCCACCATCCCCAGCTCCTCAAATAGTTTTGCAAAAACGAAAGCTGGTGCACAGATGTCCTTTCTTTTTCTGGTGGTTTAAATGTTTACAGCTGTTAAGGAACTGAAATGACTCCAGCTCTGGTGTAGATAAATATGGCTACTTGTCTCATACCCAGTGGTTTGGGGCTTTGCTGGGAACCCACGCACGTTGGTCCCAGTCTGGCCTTGCAGAAGGGAGGCTGAATGCTGTACTTTTCAGGAGCCTGTCTCCCTCTTGTGGTCATTTCTTAGTACTACAGAGAAAGAGCATGCACTCAAGAACATAAAAATAAACTCAAAAAAAAAAAGAACATTCGTTCCTCTTTACAAGGACGGCATGTTTTTACCTCTTTATTCTGATTGCATATCTTTCTGAAGAGGCAACTAGTTACAGCAGGATAGAGGTTAGATTGCTTTGAGTCTCTTCTGCTAAGTGCTCAATTACAATGTATTTTCTAAAACTCTACAGGAACGTATCTTTAGGATAACCCAAACTCTTCTTTTTTTTAAAGTGAAAATTCTATTCAAGCAGGGTGACACATGCATATAATTCCAGATATGTGGGAGGCTGAGGCCAGGCAAGGAGGATTGAAAGTTCAAGGCCAGCCCAGGCAAGTTAGTGAGACTCGTTCACAATAAAACTCTAAAAGAGATGAGACTATAACTCAATGGTAGGGTGCTTACCTACCATGAGTGAAACCCTGGGTTCAATCCCCAGCACAAAAAAAGAAAACAAACACAACAAAAGAAAACCTCAACAACAACAAAAATGTCTACACTGAGCAAATGTTTTCTCCCCTCCATTCTATCATTCACTATTTTAAAATATTGTTGCCTTTTTATCCATATTAGGTTCCAAGTTGTTTGCTTTCAAGACTATTACTGTTCTTTCTGTTAGTAACTCTTATTCAAATTACAGTTAAGGGTATTCCTCTCCACTAGAAATCTCACAGTCAGAACCAAACAGAATTTTGGAATAAGAAAAAAAGAGAGATTTGACTGAAGAGAATGAAGTTTAAGCTTAGGCCTTTATGAAAGGCTGGATCACCATCCCTTGAAGACGTCCATGTGTTATCACCAGAACTTATGAATATGTTAGCATATTCGGTAAATAGGACTTCACATAAGGATAAGGATTCAGAGGATTACTCTGGATTATTCATGGTTCCCATAGTAAACACAAGGCTTCTTGTAAGGAAGAGGAGTCAAAGTTTGAGAAGACACAAAAATGGAAGCGGATGCCAGAAACGAACTTTGAAGATGGAGGAAGAGGCCACAAGCCAGGGAAACTAGGTAACCTCTAGAAACCAGAGGACATAGCCATGCCCATTCTGATTTTAGTTCAGTAAAAGTGACTGTGGCCATTTGACCTCTGAACAGTAAGTTAGATGATTATCATTGTTTTACATCATTAAATTTGTGGTAGTTTGTGACACTGACAATAAATTTGCTGTCATTTGTTATAGTGACAATAGGAAACTGATGCAAGCAGTTCCTTGTTGGGCTGCTTCCAAGCCCCTGCAAGTGTGTTTATGTGATTGTATATTTTTGTGAATTTTGCAAAATTAAAATATTTTAATCACCATTGATGAAGACAGCTGCCTCTTCCTGTTCAGGTGTCTCCTCTGAGGCAGGAGGATTGCAAGTTTGAGGCCAGCCTGGGCAAGTTAGTGAGACTGGTTCACAATAAAACTCTAAAAGAGATGAGACTATAACTCAATGGTAGATGATGCTTACCTAGCATGAGTGAAATCCTGGGTTCACTCCTAGAGCACTGGGTAGCTACAGGCATTTTGGGGTCCTAGTGAAGCAGAGAAGTTGAGGATACAGTAGGTTGCACTTGGTGGGATATGTTCTTGAGATTCACGGTTAATTCCAAGCAGCACTGAGGTACTGCTGGAGTATAAGAATAGCTCCCAGGAAGCTCTCCCGTGCCCACTGTGTCAGTGTCTCTGGTGTGGTTGATATGAAGGAATCATAAAATTTATACAGCATGCAGTTCATCTCCTTAATTTCACCAGAAAAAGACCCTGCCTTCACCCTCTCTAATTTGTTTTTAGGTTGAAACAGTACTTCCTGAAGAAGAAATAAATTGTAATATGTGATGAATAGACTCGCAGAATCATTTGATAAGCCAATTAACAGAGTGTGAATTGTACAAGCACAGTGGAGAAAGGTTTAAACTCCTTGCTGGTTTGACACAGTTTACAGGCAGCGAAGATATTAAAAAAATAATGACTGCAGAAAGTCATCAGTGACCTCAATGACAACCATGTGTCATCAACCTGAAGGGCGATGTTGGTGATTAGTCACTGCATAAAAAAATTCTCTGAAGTCTTATAATTCTCATATGAAAGAAATGTGATAGAGATTTCTTCAAATTTGGCCACAGTTCCATGCACTTACTTGACATTATCAAGAACTATTTAGACTGGGCAGAAAGCCCTAGAACAGGTAGACTTCCTGAGGGTGGCTTGGCGGGCGATGGTCGTCGTGCTGAGGATGTCACCATGGTGGTGGGGCTTGAGTTGCTAAACTAACAACAGAAAAGCTTTTGCAGTAAATGAAGTCCTGCACTTTCACTTTTGATGGTACATACATCACAACAAGAGAAATGGTCCTGCCAAGTGAGGCATGAATACTCTGTTTTTGCGAGCAAACCCAGGACCATATTTTAGAGCAGCAGCAGCCAGCCACTAGTTGCTATTGCTAACCTGTCAGTTTGGGTTGTTCCTGGCAACTATGAATTGATGTTGATAGCACCTAATACAACTGCCCTTGCCTTTGAAGCCTCCATTTGGCGGAAAGGGGTTAGGATGGGCGTGTAGAAGAGGAGGTGAAAAGCGCAAAGTGCTGCCGGAGCAAAGACCGGTGAACCTCTGCCGGGCTGGCTTCCTGCTTTACTTTGAGTACTTGGTCTCCTTCGCAGCCGGCCGAGCCGCTGTGCGGACCTCCCATCTGCAGGGGGCGCACCGACCGCTGCAGCGCGAGGCCGCTCTGGCCGGGGGCTCCGCGCGCCTCTGTGATCGGCCCCTCCAGCTCCTGCCGTCGCCGCCGCCGCCGCCGCCGCCGCCGCCACTGCCCGAAGGTGCTGCTTCTGCTGCCGCCGCTGTTTGGGTCGCAGGTACCTGGGCCGGGGCCGTGGGCAGCAGCTGAGCGGGAGCCACAGTGCAGACCCTAAAGGCTCGCAGAGCCGGGTCCCGGGGACAGCGGGGCCGAGGGGCGTCCTCGCGGGCCGCGCGGGCGGCGAGGCCGGGGCTGGTGGCTGCCGGGGCGCGGTCGCCCTGGGCCCCGCGGGCGGGAACCTGGGGTCGTCGGGAGTCCGGGTGCCAGCGGGAGCCCCGGGTGGGAGGCGGGGTCGTACACCTTGCAGTGAGGCCTCGCAGGTGCTCCGTGAACGTGCGTTGCACAGACGCACATCGCTTCTCTTTTTCACCACTATCTCCGACAAAAAGGCTTTTCTTCATTAGCAAGCTCCGCGCGATGTTCAGAATTGGCTTTGAAACATGATGAGGTCAAATATACAAAATATTTGCCAGACACTGTAGCGGCATTCTCGTGCTCGCTGCACTCGAGAGGCTGAGGCAGGAGGATTTTTGCGAGTTTGACAGCAGCGTGAACTGCATTGCCTGAGAATCTCAAAAAACAACAGAACAAAGCCAACCATTTAACAGTAATACGTCTTAATCTTCAAAAAATAAGCAGTATCCAGATCCTTGTTGAAGAACTGTGTGAGGGGTGATTTTTATATCACAGGAATGTCAATTTTAGAGCTTGCTTTGTGTTCATACATTGTGCCAGGTGGTTTAAATCTTCCAACCTTAATTTAATTATTGCAGCAGCTCTATCAGGCACTGTTTCCAGCTTGCAGAAAGGGAAACGGAGGCACAGAGATTAATTTTTCCAAGGTCAGTCAAAATTAACTTGTGCAAGGTCAGTAGGGAGGCAGAGGACAATTGGGATTTGAGCCTCATTTCTCTAACAGCAGTGTCCTTGCTACTTTACCCAAACACGGAAGTGTTCTGTGCAACTTTTGTTTTTTAATTTGATTTGTAGCCTGAGTTGATTGCTCTCAGACTTAATGTTCAGGGCTATATACAAGAGACCCATACCAGCTGCTTTTTAGTTTGAAAGGAATTTAATGCCAAAAAATTTTTTGCTAAAGATTGTAAGTTAAACTTGTACTGACGTCCTTATTACTCCAGTACAGTTTGATTTGAAGGAGAGACGAGTGTGGTTGGTTGTAACATGCATGCATCATTACTTGTGAGCTAAACTGTGAGCTCACTTTACTTTTGCAGAGTTGTGAGCAGTGTCAAAGAGCCAGGATTCTTCCAGAATAGTAAGTTAATATTGTATGGGCTGTAGGAAAGGCATTGGGATGATGAGTATGCCAGCTCTTATGGAATTTAACACCAGATTTAACAGTTTGCATGTTCAGTCTTCACACAGCAAATATATATGCACACTACTTTCCCTGGGCGGGTGCTGTTCCAACCAACAGGGAAACATCAGTGACCAAAACAAAAATCTTTGTCCACGTGGACCTAACATCTCACTGGAGGATGGTGGGGACACTCAGCACAGTAACTTTTAAGAGTTAAAATACATCCTGTTATGGTAGCAAAGATGAAAAGAACAGCGGCGAAGGGGAATGAGAAGTGCCTGATGCAGCCAGAAATGAGGAACGGGACGGAGAACACCGTCTTGAGGAGTGGGTGACAGCCCAAGGTCATCGGGGGAGGACCAGGCAAGTGCACAACTGGGAACCTTGTTGACTAAGGGGAACTTGCGGGAACCCAGTGGATTTGAGCAGAGGAGGGGAGGGAGAAAGAGAGACCTGATGGGTAAAGACTGGCGAACGCTTTGACCCCAAATGAAAGGGAGATGAAAGGGGGCCAGAGGGAGCTGAGCAGAGGAATGGGGGGGTCTGACAGTTTTTCTAAGAATCACTGTTGTTGCTGTGTCCAGAATGGACTGTGAGAGCAAAGATTGAAACAGAGACCCCTGAGCAGGGTGATGAAATGATGGTGGCTTGGCCAAGGTGGCAGTGATAGAGGTGCTGAGGTCACCCTTGTTCACACGGGCTGAGTTCTAAGACCCCCAGTGGACACCCAAACTAGGCTTGTGGCTTGGGCCTGACGCTGTCCATGGAGCTGCCGAGGCTGGGGTGAGGGGACATTGGGATAGAGGGTGAGGAGGCACTGGGGCAGGAAATGGTGTAGTTTCGGGGGGCCCAATATGTTTTGGGGTTCTGAGAGGCCAGAGTTCAAGGAAGCCATGTTTGGGGCTTTCTGTGTTCAGAAAGTAGTATGATTAAGACCCAGAGAAGGCTGAGGAGGAGAATCTGTCAAAAGGAGAAGGGAAAAGTGAGTGTGAGAGAGAGCTCCAGGGAGAAAGTGACCAGCCGTGTTCCTCTCACGGATACCACAAGCCAGGCAACAAAGGGGCTAGGAGATGGGAGATGCCTGCTGTGTCAGCCGCAGGAAGGTTACGGGTTATCTTGCATAAGCATTTTCACAACAGAAGTGAAGGAAAAAACAAAACAAAACAAAAAAACAGATAAAGCTTCAAGAGAGAATAAAGAAGATTCTTCCAAGTATAACTGAAAATTGCAAGTATAGGAAAATTAGTTGTAAACCTTTCATACAGAAATTATTTGAAAGCACTGTAATCATGTCTACAGTAAATGATAAGTTATTTAGCAGCTAAACCTGGACTGGGTCATCAAGTAGCTATGTATAATTAATCTGTCTGCTAGGTATGAGTTAGCAAATCCAGCCCAGACGGGGAAGAGATTTAAGTTCTGCCACTTAAAGAGAAGCATTAAAGAATTTGTGGGCATATTTTAGAATTCCTACACTGTACTACACTGTAAGCACTGTAATGTCCTTAGAAAATTCTAGAAACCTCTAGCTGTATTCTTAGAACTAGTAAAGCATTCAATAAGGTTGCTAATATGAAATCAATGCAAGTGCATTCATTTAAAATCGATTTTTTTTAAAAACACCAGTTGTAGCAGATAAAAAAGCCACAGCTTACTTAAAAATAAAAGTTTAAAAATGTCTAGTACTTTCATGGGAAAAGTTATAAAAAATATTAAAAGATAGCACAGAATATCCATATGTTTGTATTATAGGGTGGGATGATTCAGTGTAGCAAACAAAAATTTCTATAGGGTTTATGTGACACATGACAAGGTAATCCTAGTGTCTAAATGCAATTGAAAATGGCAAATTGTAGATGAGATGATTTTGAAGAACAGGAGAGATTTGCCAGACAAGGTACCAAGGACTATTATAAAACACAAGTAACTAAGACAGGTTGGTATTGCAACAGGGTTTGCAAGGAAAACAGTTTAATACAGGACACATAATTTATAGTAATGGGAGCTGAGGATTTAGCTCAACGGCATAAGCACCTGCCTTGCAAGTGCATGGTTATGAGTTCGATCCCCGGTACTGATAAAAAAACAAAACAAACAAAAAATAATAATTTATAGTGTTACTTTATAATAGTCACCCAAAGAGTCAAACAAAAAAACTACAGAAATCTGGCCATACACTAAAGACCCAAAGAATCCAGCTGAGAGTCTGGATCCCATGGTGACGTCCTACATGAGTCCAGCTAAAAACCTAGAGCCCGTGACAATGTCTCTCACAAGTCTGTTTCACGGATCTGCCCTCGGCAGGCCCAAAGGTCAGCAGTGGAAACTAGGAAATTGTGCCAGCGGGATGAAGGATCTGCGCCAGCAGGCTAAGGGATCTGCACTGGAGCCAGGAAGCAATGCTCAGAGTAAGGACCAAGCTCCCCCAAGAAGCCGCATAGCCGTCTCTGTGACAGCAAGGTCCCTGATTATAGTAACAGCCGAGTTCGTATCAGGAAGCTAGTGTGACAGGCTTCTCCTGGAGACTTGCAGCACACAACATCCCCTCTGCAACCGCGAAGCAGTGCTCTGCTTTTGGGAAGCAGAGCTCCCCAAAAGTGAACCGCAGTCATTCTCAGTGACAGCAAGGTGCCAAGCTCCTCTGACGATGAAAACAGCAAAGTCTGTATTAGGAAAGAAGCTCACAGCTCCTCCAGGAGAACCCACGGCAGCAGGAGAACCAGCACCACCACTTCTTCCTCTCCAGGGCTCCTTTGTATGCTGGCTCAGGTGAGCCCTCCACACCCAGCACCACGGTGATTCAGTAAGCAGTGTGCTACAAGTCGCCTACCAGCTGTCAATCCACCACACCTGTAGACTGTTGGAACACAACAACTGAAACAAACACAGACACACAAATAAGGTATGTGTTAGAGCTACATTGTCCTGTACAGTAGCTGTAACCACATACAGCTTTTGTTGTTTTGTGAGATAGGATCTTGTTATATAATTCAGGCTGATCTTGAACTCGCTATGTAGCCCAGGCTGACTTTTGAATTCAGTGATTTTCCTGCCTCAGCCTCCGGAGTGCTGGAATTACAGCTATGCGCTACCCGTGTGGCTACTTTGTATCTAGTGTTAATAATGGCAATACAGGTTCTCAGCACTCTGATGTTCTGGTACTTAATACTCTTTTTAAATATTTTTGATGTATCTGTTGAAGTTGCATATTTTTAAAAACTCAAATATGTATATCTTAGGGATGTGCATGTTTGCTTAAAAGTGTTCTATTTCTATAATTTCAAGAAGATAAATTATCATAACAAAACTTTTATTACAAAAGAATTCTAAACTCGAGATTTTCCAAGCATATTTCAGAATTAGAAATACCGTAATTAATTTATATAATCTTCTCAAAATTAATAGATGAAAGTGGAAATTTTTATTTAACACAAAAATTAAAGTTCATTATCCATAAAATTACAGTTTTTGCAAAAATAAAGAAGTAATGAGAACGAGAGGGAGATCCTAAAGAAGAGATGGAACATTTGAAGATGAAGGAACCAGAAGATGTAGAATTAGAATCCTATTATGTTGCCTGTATTTAACAGATTTTTCAGCAGCCAGAAAAATTTGCACAAAAATCTGTTCACAAAAGTTTAGAAAGTCAAAAAAATTTTAGAGAAATACTTGATATGCTAAAAAAAAAGCAAATAAAGTGGAAAAAAACAGTTTTCAATTAGAATCCCAAAAGGCAG